GTGGTATAAATGTACACGTGCCAATCAAGCCAAGATGAACGTATCTTTTGGATCTGAGGATAAGAGGTTTACAAAATTTCACCAAAGCAGTGTTAGATATTTCACACTGTGAAAAGGCCTGTGGTGGTACAAATGGAGAAAGACCAATGATCCTCTGGATAAGAGAAACTTCTTCTGATGATAAACACTCAACCACTGATATGCCATTCACCCCTGCATAATAAATAACTAAATCTGGTTGTTTCACACTAGATAGGAGCAATTTTACATTCTGACTACGTAGATGTTTCATTATTGCTTTTGTCTTTTCCATAATCCAAAATTGAGATGTTTGAAACTGTGCTTCTGAATTTAGAATAAACTCTGACCCAGAAGTGGAAAAAAGAGGCTGAATGGTTTCTGTTACTATCACCATTCGTATGTCACCATCTGCTGGGCAGTACACAGAAAAATCTTTCTGAAGCACAAGACCAGCTATGATCCTGGAATCTGAAACAGGAAGGCCAGTGACACCAACATTCAGCTCTACAAAATAGTCATCCACTAACTCAAACACATCAATCTCAGTTTTACAAGTCATACACTTGAAAAAGTAGTCACACATCAACTGTGAAATAAATTTGTGATTATTTCTTCCCACTCTTCCACAAAAGTATGCTTCTAAGAGTAACTCTAAAGAGCTCCTACACAATGTTCTCTCTTTAGCAGATGAAAAGATAGACAAAAAGTGTCTACTTAGGTACTGGTCCATAATACCGTCTAATATTTGCGTCTGAAACGTTACGAGAGCCTGGGAAATAAATTTCCACTGACAACAATTTTTCCAATACCTTCCATGGGTTTGAATGTTTTCACACATCAAAGGATCCTTTTCTCTGTCTGTGACTGCATGAAGTCCTCTAAGCAAATGGCAAAGAAAGATAATAAATGTTTTTGCACCATCTCCTGTTTTTTTGAGATGACTGGAAACACAGTCCACTATCATCCTGCACAAAAAAGAAATAAAGCAACTCATTTTCAAAAGGCCGGCTTCCCACATCTTAAATTAAAATCATGTTTACACAGCCATAAGTATAAAATGAGAATATTGTTCCTTTGATACATCCTTAGTTTTTTCCTTTCTTGGAAAAAATTGTGCTCTATTCCCAGATTCTACGGTTGGGTGGAGTGGGGAGAAGTGGTCTTGGGAGTTGATAAGATTTGGGGTAAAGGAGTGTTCCCTTGGGCAGGGCTCTAATTCCGAGCAGACAGCGATTTCACCCGAGGTCAGTCTTTCCAAGTACGTATAGCCTCAGGATGGGACAAGAGGTCCACAGAGGCTGCCTGGGGTGCCCAGCTACAGGCTAGCGTGTGGGACGCGGGTACCTGGCTATGGGATGCTGTAAGTGTAGCGCCTCCAGGAGGCGGCCTCCATTCCGGCTGAGAAGCACCTCGCCAGTCGGCTTCGTACACAAAACCTGCCGTCCCTCGGGCCCCATGCAGCAGCTTACGATGGCTTCCAGCACCTCGGCCACCTGCAACGCCGCCTTCACAGACCCTGTGGCGGCCATAGAACTTAGCATCTGGGCCGCTTCCCCTTTTTGGCCGGCTTGCAGAACACCGGGGCCGACCGAAAAAAGGGGCTGGAACGGCCGGAAACGGAATAGGCGGGGAGAAAACCCGGAAGCCGGTAACACGGCTTCTTGGTTGGGCGAGAGGGCTGCCCTTCTGTCCGGTTGGTGGAAAAGCCCCGCAGCTTTGCCAGGTGGGGTGAGCTGCCCTGTTGTCTGCGAAGACAGATAAAAAGACTAGGATTTCCAGCAGCTGTACCAGGAACGGCAACCCTAAGCCCTTCCCCGACTCCCTAGGTGAATTCATTTCCCTCCAGTGGCGTCCGCTGCCCCCAAATCCCTTAGTCTCCCGAGAAACTTTCTTCCAAAGTCAGCAGGGTATTGGGGTCTGCGCGAAGGAGAGGGCACCCCGGTTGGAACTCAGCTGGCTTTCATCCCCTGCCAGAAGCTGCTTGTTCCGGGGCAAAACCTCTGCCTTGGATTCACGCATGTTCTGTCCACATTCTCCACGAATTGGTCTCCCTTACCGTCACGGAAATAATTTGTAGATGTAGGACAGGTGAGGAGAGCCTAGCTGCAGCCGTGAATTGCAGGCTTTATGTCCGCTGCAGAGGCTTTACCACATTTCCTTAACTCAGGTATCACAATAAAACTCTAGACACCACAGAGATATTAAGCAGAAATGATGAGAAGATTCCATTTATTTATTTATTTATTTATTTTTTTGAGATGGAGTCTCGCTCTGTCGCCCAGGCTGGAGTGCAGTAGTGCAGTCTCGGCTGACTGCAACCTACGTCTCCCGGGTTCAAGCGATTCCCGTGCCTCAGCCTCCCAAGTAGCTGGGACTACAGGCCTACGCCACTGTGCCCGGCCAATATTTGTATTTTTAGTAGAGAAGGGGATGTCACCATGTTGACCAGGCTGGTTTCAAACTCCTGACCCGAATGATCCACCTGCCAGGGCCCTTCAGAGTGTTGGGATTACAGGCATGAGCCACCGCACCAGGCCGATGTGAAGATTTAAATCCATTAGTCGCGTTGGTGATCAACAGTATGCTTTAAAACACATGGCCAAGGATTAGTGTATATAATCCAAAGACAGAAAATACTGTCTCTTATATTACAACCCTTTTTTTTTTTTTTTTTTAAAGAGACGAGGTCTCACTCTGCCGCCCAGGCTGGAGTGCAGTGGCTCCATCATAGCTCACTGCAGCTCCGAATTCCTGAGCTTGTGATCCTCCTGTCTTAGCCTTCAAGTTGCTTTGTGCCTCACTACACCCGGTTATTTTCTTTTTTAGTAGCGACAGGCTCTCCCTATGTTGCCCAGGCTGATCTTGAATTTCTGGCCTCAAGTGATCCTCCAGACTTGGCCTTCTAAAGTTTTAGGATTACAGGCATGAGCCACCTTGCTTGGCCTAAAACACAGGCACTTGAGTATGGGCTTTGGATTCAGACCTGGGTTTGCTCTGTCATTTCCTTACCTGTGGCATTCACCAAGTATCCTCTTTGACCTCTGCTTTTCTCATCTTTAAAAACAATGGGCCTGGTGTGGTGGCTCATGGCTGTGATTCCAGCACTTTGGGAGGCCGAGGCAGGCAATCACAGGAAGCCAAGAGTTCAAGACCAGCATGGCCAACATAGCGAAATCCCGTCTCTTCTAAAAACACAAAAATTAGCTGGGCATGGTAGTGCATGCTTGTAATCCCAGCTACTCTGGAGGCTGAGGCATGAGAATTGCTTGAACTCGGGAAGGGAGGTTGCGGTGAGCGGAGATCGCACCACTGCACTCCAGCCTGGGCGACAGAGCCAGACCTTGTCTCAAAACAAAACAATCCCCGCCAAAAAAACCAATGGAGATAATATATATAAAATAAAAATCTCAAAAGGTTTTGAGGAGGTCTAGAGAATGTTCACTAAACACTGCATAGTGCCTGGCATAGTTAGCACTCAACATTCAAATACTTATATTACACCTGTTTCAGGAAAAGGGTCCCAATCCAGACCCCAAGAGAGGGTTCTTGGATCTCATGCAAGAAATAATTCAGGGCGAGTCCATAAAGTGAAAGCAAGTTTATTAAGAAGAATAAAATAATGGCTACTCCACAGGCAGAGCAGCCCCAAGGGCTGCTGGTTGCCCATTTTTATGGTTATTTCTTGATGATATGCTAAACATGTTAGGGGTGGATTATTCACGCCTCCCCTTTTTAGACCATATAGCGTAACTTCCTGACATTGCCATGACATTTGTAAACTGTCATGGCGCTGATGGGAGTGTAGCAGTGAGGAAAACCAGAGGTCACTCTCGTGGCCATCTTGGTTTTGGTGGGTTTTAGCCAGCTTTACTGCAACCTGTTTTATCAGCAAGGTCTTTGTGACCTGTATCTTGTGCCAACCTCCTATCTCATCCTGTGACTTAGAATGCCTTAATCGTTTGGGAATGCAGCCTAGTAGATCTTAGCCTCATTTTACCCAGCTCCTATTCAAGATGGAATTGCTCTGGTTCAGACACCTCTGACACACCCACCAAATTACTGTGGTAGGTCACCACTCTCCTGGTTTATTATTCCCACAAGTGATATTTTGTGAGATGCAGAAGATTCAACTAGCATAACAGCACAACATACATCATCTAGAGTAGAAACATGCCAATATTAGCAAGAAAATGATCTTGTAGATGTTTCACTGAGGTTGGACAATGAGGGGCCCGTTTTCCTTAATCCTTATTGCTATGAACAAGATAGGAGGAACCGGCAGGCCCTCCCATCTTTTTCTCCCCAATTAAACCAAACCAAACCAAATGACAGCCAGAAGCAATTGGACCCTGAGCAAAGAGCAAGAATGGGAAGAAAGGAGGGTGGGGGAAAACCAGAGAGGAATGATGCCTCGGAACTCATCTGATGTTGACTTGGTATGGACTAATAGGTGATCTGAGGGGGGTTAAAAAAAAAAAAAAAAAAAACCTTTCATATGGATTTCGTGTATGTTTAACAGTAGGGTTTTTTTCTGGTGCTACTCGGGTTACATTACTCAATATAGATTCAAGCAGTGGATTATATTCCTGACATTTAGAAGTGAAGTGCTACTAGAGTTCTATTTAGGTGTACTATGGAGATACAGATTCAAACTTGTGTTTTTACTCTTAAAGTAACAGTGGGCTACCACTCTTACTCTGTAGCTTTTGGAGACATTCAACCCCTCTGAGCCTCAGCGTCTTCATGTATAAAATCTGGCTAACTTCCTCTTAAAGTTCTCATAGAGGATTCGAGGAGAATGAATATAAAGCACCAAGCAAAGCATACTTCAGGGATTCTCACTGTTGAATCCCTTTCAAGTCCTTTGCCATCCTTTGCAGCTATCCCTATCCCCCTAAAAGGGGGGATTAAAACAAATTAGCACTAATTTAGTCACCATATTGTATTGAAAGTCACTTGATCACCGTTTGCTTTTTTTAAAAAATTTTATTTAGAAGCCTACTTGTAGAAGTTAGCATAATTTTATGGATTATTAGAAAAATTCAATTCTTTTCTCTCTGCAAACAGTTATAATAGGTTAGGAATAATAGATTAGAAATGTACTACATTACAAAACAGTAGCCTATAACTATCTGTACATTTACTGTGCACCTTAAGGAAAAGAATTTGACAGTGTGCTGTACTTACACTGCAGGTAACATATTTTTATTCTATCACACAAAACTGACCAGTGGTAGTGCTTGTATTTATAAATGGCCATTAAACAGAATATTTAAACTCAGATGTATATTTAGCATGCTAAAAAGTGAAAAAAATTTCAGCTGAAGTTCTGTGGCTCATCAATTCAAATGTTTCATGACATTTTTTTCTTTAAATGAAAAATTTTGATATTGTAAAACAAATTACATAAATGCAAAAAGATATTTTCTAAATTTTTAGAAAGAATATTCACATTCATTTTGTCACGGGTTTCGTGTGGCTCCTGTAAATATATTAATCATATTAAGACGACACTGGTCCTATACAATTTTAACAGTCCATCTTCAATTAAAAACTGTAATAAAAATAAACAGTATGTAAAGAGTAACAAAAAGTAAATTAAATATACTAAACTCACACAACAGGTAGAATAAAATGAAACCAAATTACATAATGGCAGGTTATACATTTTAAAGAATCTCTTTCCACTTAGTCAAATAAGATAGAAACTGAAATGTAAACTTACTGATTTCTGTGGGATTTTCCCCACTGGTTCAAATTGGAAAATTTGATATAAATCTAGTATTTTATTTCTGTACATTTAATATGATTCAATATAATCTGCAGTCTCATGTATGGCTTATCAATAATGCCATCATCACTGTATGTCAAACAGAAAACCTCACTGCTTACTAGAAATGCTAAACACTGGAAAAAATGGAATTTTATACATTTGTTTTCTTAAATTTTGACAGATATTCTTCAAAAAGTTAAAACTGCCTTCCACAAAATTTTGTGTGTATATGGCACAAGTTAACAGCCAAAAAGTGTGAAATCCATCGAAAAGGCACTGTTAACAATACTCAGAATAATCTGACAAGTCTACATCAATGTCTGAGTAAAGAATAGGTAAATAGACAAACCCTTATAAAAGATAGCATTATTGTTTAAATATAGCTATATAAAAAGAAATGAAGTGACACACAGAAATGACCCTTTTATGACAATTAAGCCTATAAACACCTTGAATCATATTATAGTTCTGTAACACAAAAAAATGACAAAAATATTTTCTTAAAGGCACAAAAGCATGAATATTAAATGAGAGTTGTATTTTACAAGGCCAACTTTTCAATGGAATGCAATTACCAACTGAGCTGTGACAAAGAGTACACTGTACCTTTATAACTGATATAAAACAAAAAAGTACTAACATGAAATATAAGTAAAATATCTATTGCTGTAACTTAACATTTCACATGCTCTATGTATTTTTTTTTTTTTTTTTTTACATGTCCTGGGCCAGCTACATCTTACTAAATGGTGATGGCATAGTACATTTAACAGCTAAAAAGAAAATGCACATGTGAATAATTATTACTCAGTTAAATTTTCATGTAGGAAAATAACATTTGGATAAATGAAAAAAACTAGTCATAAATCCTAGAAACCCTCAGGAGGCTCTCAGACAACTTGGAACCGTAAATCACATTATGAATCCATGTGTGAAGGAAGATTAATTTCAGGCAAGTAACATTCAAAGTCAATTACATATATGGCTACAAAGTTAGTAATTATGTGTTTTAAAGATTCATATAACTAAGTCTAGTACAAGCACTGATCTAAAATTAAGCCACCAATTCCTGAGTTTTGTGTTCAGTTCATAGAAAGAAACTCATACAACTAAAAGCATAAGAGGACTATTAGATTAGATGCATGCTTTTAGTGTATAAGGAACAGTCATGAATAACCCTGCTCTTTCTTAAGAAATAGTTTTTGACTCTTTGGGTAAGAACCCATAACATTTGCTCTAAAAAGAAATTTTAAAAATAAAGAACATAACTACCTATTTAGTCTTAGAAGATACCCATACAAATAAAATATTATTTGGACCAAATGAAAACAACATACACGTGGATAAGACCAAAGTCCTAAGAGGTGGGTCACCAATAAAAAAAAATGTTAACAAGGTTTAATGATGAAATGATTTTTGTGATAAGCCAATCAAGTTGTATGTAATTAACTAAACAATAAAAAAGATGAAACTGTACAATATTTACAGAATATCATATATCAATGAATAGGCAGAGTGTAACAGAATGTGAATACAAAAATTATATTGACAAATACAAAATATAACCAAAACTCTATTTGTTCTAATGTCATGAAAACACTGGGTATATTTATGCTTTTATCAATTTAAAACATCCTGTCACATGTACATATGGAATACAGCATTATTTTGCCAACAAAACATGGGAAATGGTTCTTCATAGAAACCTAAGGATACTTGAGATAGCTATATTGATTAGGGAAAAAAGCAGGCTCTTTTTATCATTTTGATTTTCATAATTTACCAATCAACCCTTGTATTTATCATGGCATAAATGATTGTAATTTTACCATTTCACAGCCTCCTCCTACAGAAAGGCAAATGTGGTGGGGGTGATTATTCTCTCTGACCTTCATTTTCATTAAAAAACATTTCAAAATCTATACTTTCAGGATTTAAGATATATTTAGAACAACATATTCCTAAACCTAACTACCTTGGCAAAAATTGCTTTCGAGGAATATAAATATTTCTGTAAAAATACAAAGTCAAAATATTAAACTGAAGAAACAAACAAAAAAAACTTAGTTTGCCTTAGCCTGAACAATAGGAATCTTAAAGAATTGTGGTTTTGCCACAGAAAGAAGTTACTAAGAAGAGGGAGGATAATAAAAAATTAAACTTCAGAACTTGATACTCTTCGTAAATACTCAACTTATTGCACATTTTACAAAAACCAATTTTAATGTTCACATAAAGGCCACCACACAGTGTCTTTTCTTATTGCCTTTCTCTTTTTGGTTTTTGAAGTAAAATACTGGCCATAATTTTTTGTATCCTGCTTATTCACTGAACACATTAGAGTCTAAAGCTAAAATAAGTTTTCATAATGAAAAAACATGAATTATCAGCACTTCAAATGCCCTACAAACATCTCTAGAATTTGGCCTATGTTATGAACCAGCTGACTTAAGAAAAACAAAAGAAAGAAAAAAGGACAGCAATCAATTTTGACCACATTTTTTTCAGCAAGTGCTTAGGGTGGTACTATAATCAATCCAAGTAGTTGCACACCAGTGTTTTTATACTGATGTAAACAAAAGTATATATATTTACCTGGATCTATAAATATTAAATTCTAGGGGTTAAAAAAAATCTTATGTAAACTTTTTAAAAAGCAATTTGCCATTTATCTCTCTCAGTGTATTCATTTTGACTATTCATACTTTTTCTTTCCTTCTAAGAAGACAATTGAGCTGAGTGCTTTGCAAATGATTTTAACAGTAGTGTATTGAATTAATTATGTCTATTTTCCCATCATTTCTCAATCTGTAATTCCTTACTGATAAAAGTTTTGTGCCTGTTTTATGAAGAAAATAGATTACATATAAGATTGATAGCATTTTTTGTTATGAACAATGTTAACATTATATCTCAGAACATACTATAGAATACAAAGACTACTGTCAGGTAAGAGTACATAAGAGACAATTGTGTATACATGTGGGTTTATTATACTCACATGTAGACACATTCTCACAAAAGCTAGAAATGTCCTGGCACTTAACACATAGCTCACTTTAATAATCAAATAGGATAGCTCTTGTTTCAGTGTGAAGATAAAAGATACGAAAAGTCAATACCTCTACATTTATCTCCTAGGTTTTTTGTTTTCAGAATATTGTGATTTTTAATAAAGACGAAACCAACTTGAACACTGGTCCCAGGCCAAATCAGATCTTTCTAGTTCACTGATTCAATGGCAGAGAACTTCTACTTGAACATGAAGTTTATTATGACTTGAAGCAAAATCAGGAGGAAAATGATGAAGTAGTCTTTTTGTTGCAGAAAATAATCTGTGGCAGGTGTGCTTGAAACTAAATGATTTCGAAGAGCCATAATATTTCTACAAAAATAAGCAACAACAAATTTTATAATGATTTGCCAGAAATGTTGGCATAGAGCCCACAATTTGATATTATACACTCACAGAGCACTTAATAATTTTTAGTTGCTGGGTAATGGGGTGGTATGTAGGGGCTGGGGGAGGGGTCTGAGACTGCAAAGAGGAATACTTAAGGGCTCAAAGAGTGAATATTTACCCACTGTTATGGATGCATTTCAGTATTTCAACTGATGCATTCCAATGAAATAATAGCCATGCACAGAAGGGACTATAGAGGCCTTTGTTAACTGACTTTCTCAGAAACAACCCCACCTCCACAGGCAACTCAGCTACATTCCTAGCATACTACAGGAGTAAATAAAGTGATTCCAATTCTACCCTCACAGAGAAAAAACAACCTCTCCTCCCTTCCCAAGTATTTTAGTGATGGAGGAATTTCATAAGTGTCAAACATCAGGTGACAGAAACTAACATTCTATTTTAACTTAGCTAAATGTTATAAAAATATGAAGTTTGCATATGATTTCCCACATAACAGGATTCTTAACTACTCCTTGGTCTCAAAGGAATAGTAACTGTTAGTATATTACCTTTTAATTTCTTCCTGTGTTTGTTTTATAGATTCGATGGAACTCTGAATGTCTCCCAGTTCTATTCCTTTCTTTCTTCTTGTACTTGGTTTTACTGATTGAGCTAAAAAGACATTTAGAATGAAGTTGAAACTATAAAAATAATCTACAGTTCAATTTAATGTTTCTCATGTAATAAAAATTTTCCTGGGCATTTGTTTTTGTAGCCTAGAGGTTAGCAGAGTAATATGAATACTCTGCACTTTTGAAGTTTCAAACACATCATTGCAACACTAGAACACTAAAAATATATATAAAGAACTACACATCAGTTGAATTTTGGATGTCACCAGTTTTATTTTTTAACTAATTAAAACAGAAATAATTCATTAGAAAATATAAATTAACTTGAAGAAGGTATTACTCTTTTCTGTTCCTTGCCCATTTGCCTACCTCTGAAGAAGTCAGCTTCTTGAGCCCTTTTTTCAATATTTTATTGTTAGTGTTTAGTTACCCAAACTTTAAATCCCTTTCGACACTTCTGCAAATTTTTACTGCCAATCAGCAAGCTGTATATGTTTTTCCAAATTCCCTCTCATATGCATTCCTTCCTTTCCATTTTGGTTCAGATCCTACTTAACCTCTCTACAAGTCTCAGCTTTCTCACTTTAAAAATAGGGATAATAATACCAGACTTCACAGGGTTGTTATAAGGTGTATTGAACATACAGTCTGGCACATATTAATTACTCAGTAAATGTCTGCTGATACATTATAGTTATATACTAAAGTGGATGACAGAGTGAATTAAGGAGCCAAAAAATCTGCATATATAACATACATATACCTACTTATGGGGTATGTGACCTTAGGCAGGTTAACTTGTGTCTCAGTTTCTTTTCTTATAAAATGGGAATAACAATAATACAACCAATACTCTCTTCTAACACATTGGGATGCCATGTGACTCCTGCTTTTAAATCCTTATTTGTTTCATTCCTCTAACTACCGGAGTATGTTACCTCACCCCACTCCCCAAGCCTAGACTGCTATAATCCATTAGAAATCCTAATAATTCATCAGAATTCTAAGAACTTTCCCTCGAACTGAATTGAGCTCCCGCTCCTTTAAACTGGTTATCGCTTGTCATCTAATTTCTTAGTAATCTACCATTTATTCACCTCTAGTGTTATCTTTATAGGTTAAAATGGGCTCCGTAGTTCAGTGTAAACTCAGTAGAGATTATGGCCTAAAGTTTTTTTTTTCTTTTTTTTTGTGATAATATCACAAACATCACTTTAATCCTTTCATGATTATATCTCAAGGTAGTTCAAGATAGTGTACACATTATCTGACTCGAATAAGAATGGAGTACAATTTAATCTAGCAGTTCCTAAGTTTTATATTTTTATTGTCTGTCACTTCCCAACACTACAGCAATATATTCTGGAAATGAAAAACATTTTTGAAGCATGGAAGTGAGCTCAAAGCCCAAAAAATGCTTCTGAATTCAATCTAGGGAACCATCAACAATTTTTCAGAGGTTAACAAGGCATGCTGGGCGCGGTGGCTCAAGCCTGTAATCCCAGCACTTTGGGAGGCCGAGACGGGCGGATCACGAGGTCAGGAGATCGAGACCATCCTGGCTAACACAGTGAAACCCCGTCTCTACTAAAAACACAAAAAACTAGCCGGGGGAGGTGGCGGGCGCCTGTAGTCCCCGCTACTCGGGAGGCTGAGGCAGGAGAATGGCGTAAACCCGGGAGGCGGAGCTTGCAGTGAGCTGAGATCCGACCACTGCACTCCAGCCCGGGCGACAGAGCAAGACTCCGTCTCAAAAAAAAAAAAAAAAAAAAAAAACAAGGCATAAGAGGTAGCTATTACCTACAGTGTGGTTTTTTTTTTTTTTTTGAGACAGGGTCTAACTTTGTCACCTAGGCTGGAGTTCAGTAGTGCGATCTCGGCTCAGTGCATCTTCTCCCTCCTGGGTTCAAGCAATTCTCGTGCCTCAGGCTCCCAAGTAGCTGGGATTACAGGTGTGCACCACCGCACCTGGCTAATTTTTTCCTATTTTTAGTAGAGACGGGGTTTCGCCATGTGGGCCAGTTTGTTCTTGAACTCTTGGCCTCAAGTGATCTGCCCACCTTGGCGTCCCAAAGTACTGTGATTACAGGCGTGAGCCACCACGCCCGCCCTAGAGTGTGGTTTTTATTTAGGTGTCTCCCCTTTTTCATTTTCTGTTTCTTTACCTTGCGTCCTTGTCTCACAACTTACCTATGATCTAGAATCGCTTTTGTACCTCAACCCTGCCCCAACCAAATCATGTAACTTCTTGAGTTAATATGAAAAACCATATTCATATCAAATTGTGTAGTAATTAAAAAAAATTAGACTCTCATTAGTCTGCAATAAATATTTTTACCTTCACTTCCAGAGGAGTCTTGGATGTCAGGTTCTGGGGAGGAATAGCCTTTTGCTACTTTCTTCTGTTGCCTGGTTGGCTTATGTTTCATTTTGGGGACATTAACCTAAAGAAAAAAATAACTGTTTTGTGAATTTGCACTGTATTTTGGACTGAAGACCAATTGTGTACAACTGTCAAAATTATCTGCACATAGGCATGATATTCAGAAAAAAAAGACAACAATGAAATAGTCTAATTCAAACTTAACAAAGGTGATGCGCTTATGCAATCAAATGATCTTATTTTAATAGGAAGTAATTTGGCACAAATGTCAAAAAGTAAAATACACAACAAAGAGTATACCCAGTCTCTCACACTAAAGAGGTACCCATCACTATCAGTTTATATCCAGGGATATTTTTATGTATACATAAACAAATACGAATATAGATCCCCCTACCTCTGACTGCACCAGCTAGTATCTCTAGTAGAATGTTAAGTAATAGTGTGTATAAATTATATTTATCTTGTTCCTGATGTTAGAAACATTCCCACTAAACGATGCTGGGTTTCCAGTAAAACTGTTTATTTACTTTTAATCACATCTGGGTAGTACAGAAAGTATCTTATAATAAATAAAAATGATACTATTATTTTGTAGAGCATTATTTTAACTTATTGAAAGCATTTAAATGGATGCACAAGATTCAAAACTATACGAAACCATCAACTATGACTAAATTTTCCTTAGAATAATAAACTTTGGACTCTATCCTATTAATAGATTTGTAATTTTGGTGTTCAGTATTAAACTTAAAAACCTAAATGCAAGATTAGAAACTAGAATCAGAAAGACAAGATGTATTAGTCCATTTTTATGCTGCTAATAAAGACATTCCTGAGACTGGGACGAAAAGGAGGTTCAATTTGACTTATAGTTCCACATGTCTGCGGAGGTCGCAAAATCATGGCAGATGGCAAAAGGCACTTCTTACATGGTGGCAGCAAGACAGAATGAGGAAGATGCAAAACTGGAAACCTCTGATAAAACCATCAGATCCCGTGAGACTTATTCACTACCACAAGAACAATATAATATGGGGGAAACAGCCCCCATGATTCAAATGATCTCCCACCAAGTCCCTCCCACAACACGTGGGAATTATGGGAGTACAATTCAAGATGAGACTTGGGTGGGGACAGAGCCAAATCATATCATTCTACCCCTAGCCCCACCAAATCTCATGTCCTCACATTTCAAAACCAATCATGCCTTCCCAAGAGTCCCCCAAAGTCTTAATTCATTTTAGGTTCTTAGAGACCTACAAAGAGACTTAGACTCTCACACAGTAATAGTGGGAGCCTTTAACACTCCACTGTAAATATTAAATCAACGAGACAGAAAATTAACAAGGATATTTAGGACTTGAACTCAGCCCTGGATCAAGCAGCCCTAATAGATATCTACATAACTCTCCACCCAAAATCAACAGAATACGCATTCTTCTCAGCACCACATCACACATATACTAAAACTGACCATATAATTGGAAGTAAAACACTCCTCAGCAAATGCAAAAAAACGGAAATCATAACAAAAAGTCTCTCAGACCACAGCGCAATCAAATTAGAACTCAGGATTAAGAAACTCACTGAAAACCACACAACCACCTGGAAACTGAATAACCTGCTCTTGAATGACTACTGGGTAAATAACGAAATTAAGCCAGAAACAAGTAAGTTCTTTGAAACCAATGAGAACAAAGATACAACGTACCAGAATCTCTGGGACACAGCTAAAGCAGTGTGTAGAGGGAAATTTATAGCACTAAATGCCCACAGGAGAAAGTGGGAAAGATCTGAAATCAACACCCTAACATCACAATAAAAAGAACTAGAGAAGCAAGAGCAAACAAATTCAAAAGCTAGCAGAAGACAAGCAATAACTAAGATCAGAGCAGAACTGAAGGAGATACAGACATGAAAAACCCTTCAAAAAAATCAATGAATCCAGGAGCTGGTTTTTTGAAAAGATTAACAAAACAGACCACTAACCAGACTAATAAAGAAGAAAAGAAAGAAGAATCAAATACACACAATAAAAAATGATAAAAGGGAGGTCACCACTAATCCCACAGAAATACAAACCACCATCAGAGGATACTATAAACACCTCTACGCAAATAAACTAGAAAATCTAGAAGAAAGAATAAATTCCTGGACACATCCACCCTCCCAAGACTAAACCAGGAAGAAGTCGAATCCCTCAATAGACCACTAACAAGTTCTGAAATTGAGGCAGCAATTAATAGCCTACCAAACCAAAAAAAGCCCAGGACCAGACGGATTCACAGCTGAATTCTACCCGAGGTACAAAGAGGAGCTGGTACCATGCCTTCTGAAACTATTCCAAACAAAAGGAAAAGAAGGACTCCTCCCTAACTCATTTTATAAGGCCAGCATCATCCTGATGCCAAAACCTGGCAGACACAACAAAAAAACTTTCAGGACAATATCCCTGATGAACATCGATGCAAAAATCCTCAATAAAATACTGGGAAACCGAATGCAGCAGCACCTCAAAAAGCTGATCCACCAAGATCAAGTCGGTTTCATCCTTGGGATGCAAGGCTGATTCAATATATGCAAACCAATAAACTTAATCCATCACATAAACAGAACCAAGGACAAAAACCACATGATTATCTCAATAGATGCTGAAAAGGCCTTTAATAAAATTCAACACCCCTTCATGCTAAAAACTCCCAATAAACTAGGTATCGATGGAATGTATCTCAAAATAATAAGAGCTATTTATGACAAACCCACACTCAATATCATACCGAGTGGGCAAAAGCTGGAAACATTCTCTTTGAAAACCGGCACAAGGATGCCCTCTCTCACCACTCCTATTGAACATAGTACTGGAAGTTCTGGCCAGGGCAATCAAGCAAGAGAAAGAAATAAAGGGTATTCAAATAGGAAAAGAGGAAGTCAAATTGTCCCTGTTTGCAGATGACATGATTGTATATTTAAAAAACACCATTGTCTCAGCCCAAAATCTGCTTAAGCTGATAAGCAACTTCAGCAGTCTTAGGATACAAAAAAATCAATGTGCAAAAATCACAAGCATTCTTACACACCAATAACAGACAGAGCGCCAAATCATGACTGAACTCCCATTCACAATTGCTACAAAGAATAAAATACCTGGGAATACAACTTACAAGGGATGTGAAGGACCTGTTCAAGGAGAACTACAAACCACTGCTCAACGAAATAAAAGAGGACACAAACAAATGGAAGAACATTCCATGCTCATGGATAGGAAGAATCAATATCGTGAAAATGGCCATACTGCCCTAAGTAATTTATAGATTCAATGCTATACCCATCAACCTACCACTGACTTTCTTCACAGAATTAGAAAAAACTACTTTAAATTTCACATGGAACCAAAAAAAAAAGCCCATGTAGCCAAGACAATCCTAAGCAAAAAGAACAAAGCTGGAGGCATCAAGCTACCTGACTTCAAACTGTACTACAAAGCTACAGTAACCAAAACAGATATATAGACCGATGGAACAGAACAGAGGTCTCAGAAATAATGCTACACATCTACAACCATCTGATCTTGGACAAACCTGACACAAACAAACAATGGGGAAAGGGTTCCCTATTTAATAAATGGTGCTGGGAAAACTGGCTAGCCTTATGCAGAAAACTGAAACTGGTCTCCTTCCTTACACCTTATACAAAAATTAACTCAAGATGGATTAAAGACTTAAACGTAAGACCTAAAACCATAAAAACCCTAGAAGAAAACCTAGGAAATGCCATTCAGTACACAGGCATGGGCAAAGACTTCATGACTAAAACACCAAAAGCAATGGCAACAAAAGCCAAAATTGACAAATGGGATCTAATTAAACTAAAGAGCTTCTGCACAGCAAAAGAGTCTATCGTCAGAGTGAACAGGCAACCTACAGAATGGGAGAAACTTTTTGCCATCTATCCATCTGACAAAGGCTAATATCCAGAATCTACAAGGAACTTAAACAAATTCATGAGAAAAAAAACACCACCACCACCACCATGGAAAAGTGGGCAAAGGATATGAACAGACACTTCTCAAAAGAAGACATTTATGCAGCCAACAAACATATTAAAAAAATCTCATCATCACTGATCATTAGAGAAATGCTAATCAAAACCACAATGAGATACCATCTCATGCCAGTTAGAATGGCAATTATTAAAAAGTCAGGAAACAAGAGATGCTGGAGAGCAGGTGGAGAAATAGAACGCTTTTACACTGCTGGTGGGAGTGTAAATTAGTTCAACCATTGTGGAAGACTGTGGCGATTCCTCAAGGATCTAGAACTAGAAATACTATTTGACCCAGCAATCCCATTACTGGGTATATACCAAACGATTATACATCATGCTACTATAAAGACACATGCACACGTATGTTTATTGTGGCACTATTCACAATAGCAAAGACTTGGAACCAACCCAAATGCCCATCAGCGATAAGACTGGATAAAGAAAATCTGGCATATACACACCATGGCATACTACGCAGCCATAAAAAAGGATGAGGTTTTTTTTTTTTTTTTTTTTTTTTTTTTTTTGAGACGGAGTCTCGCTCTGTCACCTAGGCTGGAGTGCAGTGGCCAGATCTCAGCTCACTGCAAGCTTCGCCTCCCGGGTCACACCATTCTCCTGCCTCAGCCTCCCGAGTAGCTGGGACTACAGGCGCCTGCCACCTCACCCGGCTAGTTTTTTGTATTTTTTAGTAGAGACAGGGTTTCACTGTGTTAGCCAGGATGGTCTCGATCTCCTGACCTCGTGATCCGCCCGTCTCAGCCTCCCAAAGTACTGGGATTACAGGCTTGAGCCACCGCGCCCGGCAAAAGGATGAGTTAATGTCCGTCACAGGGACATAGATGAAGCTGAAAACCATCATTCTCAGCAAACTAACACAGGAACAGAAAACCAAACACCGCACGTTCTTACTCATAAGTGGGAGCTGAACAGTGAGAACACATGGGCACAGGATGGGGAACAACATACACCGGGACCTATTGGTGGGTAGGGGGGTAGGTGAGGGATAGCATTAGGAGAAATACCTAACATAGATGATGGGTTGATGGGTGTAGCAAACCACCATAGCATGTGTATACCTATGTAACAAAACTGCACATTCTGTGCTTGTATCCCAGAACTTAGAGTATAATTAAAATTAATTAATTAATTAATTGACCATGGATGTCTGGCTTGACATTTAGACACTCAATTCTATTCCATTGGTCAATATGCCTGTTCTTACATAAGTACCACATTCCTTCGATTACTGTAGCTTTATAGTAAGTTTTGAAATCGAAAAGTGAGAGTTCTCTTTATACTTCTTTTTCAAACTTGTTTCGGCTATTTGTGGTCCCTTGCAATTCCATGTGAATTTGAGGATCTGCTTTCCCATTTTTGCAAAAAAAGGTTTGTAACATTGACAGGGATTGTGGCGAATCAGTGGGTTGCTTTGAGTAGTACTGTTATATTCTTATTTTTTTGAGACAGGGTCTCACTCTCACCTAGGCTGGAGTATAGTAGTGCCGTCACGACACTGCAGCCTTGACCTCTCTGGGCTCAGGTGATCCTCCCACCTCAACCTCCCAAGTAGCTGAGACTACAGGCATGTGCCACCATGCCCAGCTAATATTTCTATTTTTTGTAGAGACAGAGTTTTGCCATGTTGTCCAGTCTGGTCTCAAACTCCTGGGCTCAAGCAATTCCTCTGCCTCAGCCTCCCAAAGTGCTGAGGTTACAGGCATAAGCCACTGTGCCTGGCCAAAATCTTAACAATATTAACCTTTTCTACCTGAGAATATGAGGTGTCTTTCCCTTTATTTAAATGTTCTTTCATTTCTTTAGCAATGTTTTATAGTTTTCACTGTAGAAGTCTTTCAGTTCCTTGGTTAAATTTGTTCTTTTAGATGCTATTATTGAATTGCTTTCTTAATTTTGAGAGTTTTTACTGTTAGAAACATAACTGATTTTTGTGTGTTGATCTTATTCCCAGCAATTTTTCTTAAGTTCATTAGCTCTAGTAGCTTTCTATGGATTCTTTGGGATTTTCTATATATAGGATAATGTCACCTGTTAATTAGAGATAGTTTTACTTCTTTGTTTCCAATTTTGATGACTTCTCTTTTTTTTTCTTGCTCTAGCTAGAACTTCCAGTACAATGGTAAATAGGAGTGGTGAAAGTGGGAATGTTTGTCTTGTTCCTCATGTTACGGGGAAGGCTTTCAACCTGTCACCACTGAGTCTACTATTTGTGGGTTTTTCATACATGCCCTTAATCATGTTGAGGAAGTCTCTTCTCTTCCTAGTTTTATGAGGTCTTTCTTTTGATTATGAAATGGTGATGGATTTTGTCAAATGCTTTTTCTGTCAATTGAGATGACCATGTGATTTCCCCCCTTCTTAATGTGATATATTACATTGATTTTCTTACGTGGAACCAACCTTGCATTTCTGGAATAAATTCCACTTGGTCATGGTGTGTAATCTTTCTAATATGCTACTGAATTTTGTTTGCTACTATTTTGTTAAGGATGTATGAATCTTACTTATAAAGGTTATTGTTTGTAATTTTATTTTCTTGTGATGTCTTTATCTGGCTTTGACATTAGGGTAATGTTAGCTTCAGAGAATAAGTCAGTAAATGTTCCCATCTCTTCTATTTTTTAGAGTTTGAGAAGGATTTGTGCTTGTTCTTTAAAGTTTTGTAGAATTCACCAGTGCAGCCATCTGATCTTGAATTTTTCTTTGGAGGTTTTTGGTTACTGATTCCATCTCTTTATTGTTACAGCTCTATTGAGATTTTCTGTTTCTTTTTGAGTCAGTTTATGTAATTTGTGAGTTTCTAGGGATTTGTTGGCATACAATTATTCATAGTGTTCTCTCATAATCCCTTCTATTTCTTTATGATTGGTAGTAACATCGCCACTTTAATTGCTGATTTTAGTCATTTGCTGTCTTCTTTCTTGCTTCCTCAGCCTAGCTGATGGTTTATTGATTTTGTTTATTTTTATCAAAGAGCAACTTTTGGTTTGGTTTCACAAATTCTATTTTTTTCCTACTCTCTATTCTGTTTATCTGTACTCTAATCTTCATTATTTTCTTCTTCTGCTAGCTTTGGGTTTAGTTTTTTCTTCTTTTTCCAGTTTCTCATGGTATGAAGTAAGGTTATTGATTTGAGATCTCTTTTAATGTAGATGTTCGCAGATATATATTTTCCTTACCTTTGCTGTATCTCGTAAGTTTTGTTATACTGTATTTTTGTTTTCACTTGTCTAAGTATTACCTAATTTCCCTTGTGTTTTTCTTTGACCCATTGAGTTTTTGTTTTGTTTTGTTTTGTTTGTTTCTGAGATAGAGTCTCACTCTGTTGCCCAGGCTGGAGTGCAATGGTGTGATCTCGGCTCACTACAACCTCCGTCTCCCAGGTTTACATGATTCTCATGCCTCAATCACCTGAGTAGGTGGGATTTACTGAGACATGTTATATGGTGTAACATATGGTCTATCCTGAAGAATGTTCCATGTATACTTGAGAAGAATGTGCATTCTTCCGTGGTTGGGTGGATTGTTCTAGGTCAAGTTGGTTTACAGTGTGGTTCAAGTTATCCATTTCCTCCTTATTGATTTTCTGTCTAGAGGTTCTACCCATTGCTAAAAGTAATTTACTGAATTTTCCATCTATTGTTATATAGCCGTTTCTATCTTCCAATTCTGTCAGTTTGCTTTGTGTATTTTGGGGCTCTGTTGATTGGTGTGTATATACATATATATGAATTGACCCTTTTATCAATACGCCATGTTCCTTTTTGTCTCTTGTAACAAGTTTTGACTTAAAGTCTATTTAGTCTGACATTAGTATAAACACCTCAGTTTTCCTTTGGTTACTATTGGCCACCTCAGTTTTCCTTTAGTTGCTATTTGCACATAATATTATTTTCTAACTTTTCATTTTACTCTGTCTATGGATCTAAAGTGAATCTCTTGTACACAGCATATAGTTGGGTTATGTTTATTTTAATCAATTTTTACAATTTGTCTTTTGCTCAGAGAGTTTAATCTATTTACATTTTAAAGTGACTATGGATAAAAACTTCTGATTTTGCTACTTTCTATATGTCATGTATGTTTTTTGTTTCTTATTTACTCCATTACTGCCTGCTTTTGTGCTTATTTCTTGTAGTTAACTGTTTTGATTCCCTTCTCATTTTCTTTTGTGTGTATTTTTTAAGGTATTTTATTTGTGGTTACTATGGGGATGACATTTACACCTACCTCTACAACAATCTAGTTTGAGTCGATACCAACTTAACTTCAGTAGTACACAAAAACTTTCCTCCTATACAGCTCCATCCTCTCTGCTTTTATGTTGTAACAAACTATATCTTTATATATTGTACGTCTGATAACAAAGATATGTAATTAAATTATTTTTCATTCATTTATTTTTTAAGTCCTGTAGGGAATAAAAGATGACTTACAAACTAAAATTACAACAGCACTAGCTTTTATATTTGCCCAACTATTTACTGAAAATATTACTTCATACAGCTTTGAGTTTCATTTTATTCTGAAGGATTTCCCTTAGCATTTTTTTGTAGGGCAGGTCTAGTGGTAATGAACTCCCTCAGCTTTTATCTGGGAATGTCTTAATTTCTCCCCCATTTTTGAATGACAGTTTTGCCAGATATAGAATTCTTGATTGACAAGTTTTTTCTTCTACCACTTTAAATATGTCATCTCATTGCCTTCTGGCCTCCATGGTTTCTATGAGAAATCGGTTGTTAATCCTATGGATGATCCCTGATGTATGTGATAAGTTGCTTCTCTCTGCTGGTTTTAAGACTCTCTTTGGCTTTTGACAGTTTGCTGTGGTGTGGTTCTCTCTGAGATCATCCTACTTGGAGTTTGTTCAGCTTCTTGAATTTGTAGATTTATATCTTTCACCAAATTTAGGGATTTGGGGGTCTTCTTTCCTTAAATATTCTTCATTCGTTTCTCTGTCTTCTCTCTGTGGAACTCCCATAATGCAATGATAACCCACTTGATGGTGTCCCACAGGTCCTTTAGGCTCTGTTCATGTCACTTCATTCATTTTTCTTTCTTCTCCTCAGACTGGATAATTTCCATGATCTTATCTCTAAGTTTCCTGATCCTGTCTTATGCTTGCTTATATTTGCTTTTGAATATCTCTGGTGAATTTTCATTTTCATTATACCTTTCAGCTCCAGAATTTGTTTGGCTCCCTTGAATAACTTGTCTTTACTGATTTTCTCAGAGATGAGTGCCTGTGTAAGTCCTTCAGGTAGTATCCTGACAGCTTAGGACAGACATACACAACTGTGTCTGAGGTCCACTGTGTTCCTTCTGGAACTAGGAACTTACACTGGCAATGCAGGGGCCCTTCAAGACTGCTACTGCACTGGGAAGGACCTGGGGCAAGGGCAGGAAAAATGCCATAAAGCTTTCCTCTCTTTGCACTTTCTTGATCCAGTGTTCACTTGGTTGCTGAACACCTCTGACTGTTTTCCAGAGTTCTGGCAAACTGAGTTGACAGTTTTTGCTTGTTTTCTGATTTTTTTGGGGGTAACAAGAGTTCAGAGCTGCCTATTTTGCTCACCCAAAATTTTACATTTTGAAACCAAATTTTAAATGTTGGTTGTTACAGATACTAAAGATTTAACAAATTTATGTATCTAGTGTATCTGTTTTTTTATTACATACCATTGGAGTACGATGTTTCACTTTGGTCTGAATAACACCATCTTTTTCAAATTGTATCATATCATTAAGTGGGTCCCATGGTCGGGTACTACATAAATGAAAAAAAAAATACCATTTGCTCAATGACTAAACAAAGAACTTTAAAATTTTCTATGATTCAATTTTATTAATAATTATATACGTAGTTCTAATAATGAGATTTCCCCATATCTAATCTTTGGACCCTCATTTTATAGGCTAACTACTATCATAGAGTCAAGCTTATAATGAATGCAAAACCAAGTTTAAAAATCTCACACTAATACACATGGTTTAATTAAAAACTACTCCAGCAACAAATATTCTAGAAATAAAGGCAATAAACCATGCTAATAATATATTGTTTGAAATAAACTATTTTAAGTTACTTACTCTGCAAACTTGTAATGCCATTCTCCTGTGAGTGGATCAAGTTCAAATAATTTGCAAGACCATTCTTCATTTTTTGTTTTCCGATCTCTGGCAGCTTGTCTTTGAGCTTCTTCCAAAACATACTTCTCTTGGGTAGCTTCAGTTTGGTCTTTGGCATTTATGGCTCGAGTTACTCGTTGCCAGAGTCTAATACATGTGCAAAAATAGTATTAAAAATGCAACAGAAAATAAAATCTATATAGAACAGGCTTCAGTCCCCTTGTAGAGAAAATAATGTTCACATGAATTTCTGGCTTTGACAACACTTATGCTCATAGGCTTAGAAATGAGTCAAGATATAAATTCAGTCCCTTGAGTAGAGAGAGGGACTCTCTATGAATTAAGTTCATAAGTGGAGACTAATTTTACTTTTACTTGGCAAGAGAAACTTACTATATAGACTCTAAAACTCATGGTAGTAAGTGTTGCTGGCTCAAGATGATAGGAATGTAATGAAGGTAAAGTTCAGGAATCTATGCTTTAAGCAAGCTTCCTAGATGATTCTTACACTGTTTAACATCCACTGGCTTCAGAAAGATCCATTAATGTAATGCAGTGCTTCTCAAGTTTGGATCCATGAATTATCAGAGAACTTTTATAATCAGAATCTCTGGGGTCAGGCCCAAGTATTGATACATTTTTTAAATGTTTCCCCAAAATATTTTAATGTATTGCCAGTGTTGAGAACCACTGGTTTAACAGAAAAGACTACTGAGGTAAAATGATATCCTCTACTGGTTCTTTCTTCTGTTAAATAAAAGTTTATCTATATCCTACCCATCTAGAAAGGCAACATGTTAAAACCAGAAGAAAAGGCTTTGGGATCAGATAGACTTGAGTCAAGTCCTAGAGCTGCCACTTCTTAGCTGGTGCACTTAAAGTTATTTATCCTAAGTCTCATTTCCTCATCTTCAAATATGCTGAATTATACACTCTCAAAAATTATCATATGTATGCCTTGGCAAAGCTTATCTCTGGATAAAGAACATCAAGTGGTTATGGCAGAATATTTAGAACTGGTACATACACATTCTTCCATCTTTGACAACCTTAATTTTGAGTGTAGAAAGGAAGGTACACACACACTTGAATTCCCATGAGAGAGAATAATATGTATGTGGGAACATGTAGGGAGGACTAAGTTGCATAATGAGTGTTTAGTGCCTAGCAAAGTATCTTTTATACATAAGTCTCTTTCTCTTAACACAAAGATATAATAACAATAAAATGGGGAATGTGTATATAATATTTTTGATTCAAAAAAGTTCATGACTTAAGAACAGAAATGATAGCCTTAATTATTATCCAGCTAGTAAGTCCTTTAGAAGCCAGTCCATCCAGTAACTTTATTTTTGTTTCAGAGAATGGTACAGAAGTAGATTCTGCACCATTCCCTTTACCTAGAGTTCTAATGCCTAAACTAGGTTAGAAAACAGTTGCCAGGTAGAAACTAAGAGTCACTAATTAGTCCTGTAATCTTATTTAAACAAAAACTTTTTTTTTTAAGGTTCTGGAGAAGTTGATAAAGAAAAACATGAGTAGTTTTGAGGTACAGAAAAGCAAGACGATATATATTATATTTATTTGACATTCTTATACACAGAAACAGAATACTGTCACATTCCACAAATGATAAACTATTTTGCTGAATTAAGATATGACAGAAGAAAGGTGACAAAATGACCATTTCATTAAGGAATTGAAAAACTACTCCCTGATCCTTATGAAGTTAGCTGTAAAACAGTATACTTACTTCTCTGATTCAAAATCTCCCTGTTCTTCAAATTTTACAGTGTGCCTTATTAATCTCCATTGCTTAATGTCAGGTGTTGGATTCCAGAAAACCTCTGAATTATCAGTCTTTTTATCAGTAATAAAAACTTCACTATCCTATATTTAAAGAAATTCAAAATTAATGTAGAGAATTATACTTAGAAGGCGATTTTATAGTATAGTAATATGACGGTGAGAATTTCTTTTGGTTAATCCTCCAGTTAAAAACATTTTTAAAAACAAATGTAACTAGCACTTTTCCAAAAGCCCCATGTTTCTTATCATTTTTATAAAAACATTGATTGAATACATAATACTAGTTAATTAAAAAGAATTTGGTTGAATATCCAGTTTGTGATATTTCACAAGTCTTACTTCATAAATTTCAAACATTACATGCAAAGCCTCAATAACCATCTCCAAACTGTCAAAGTAGAGCATAGTATTTGTTGCAGCTACAATGAGATGCTGTTGACTATCCATGGTTTCAATATACTCATACATACACATACACATCCCTCTGAAAGAGGTTTTCCTAGCATTAAAAATTTGAGGTCTATCTCTATCGAATAATCTTTCTATCTAAGAGATGGTCTTACTCTCTTGTGTAGGCTGGAGTGCAGCGGTGCTATCTACCTTATCTATCTAATCTATTTTACCTATCCAATTTATCTACCTGTCTATCCATCCTTCTCTTTCTCTCTCTCTCTCTCATTTCTCTCTCTCATCTATATCTGAGACAGGGTCTTGCTCTCTCACCCAGGCTGGAGTGCAGTAGCACAATCATGGCTCACTGCAGCTTTCACCTCCCAGGCTCAAGCAATCTTCCTGCCTTGGCTTCCTGAGTAGCTGGGACAGGCATGTGCCATCATGCTCATCTAATTTTTTTATTTTTATTTTTAGTAGAGAAGAGGTCTCGTTATGTCACCCAGGCTGATCTCAAACTCCTGAGCTCATGCGATCCTCCTACCTCAGCTTCCCAAAGTGCTGGAATTATAGGTGTGAGTCACCCCACCTAGACAGAAATTTCGTTTTTTAAAAATGACTGCTACTTTTTTTCCAGAAGACGCTCAGATTTAAGGCAATTAAAAAAAATTTTCAGTGTATGTGGCCACTTAGCGGAGTCCCTAAATACAGTTTCACTTTCTCATATTTCTCAACATTTTCTGCTTACTGTATGCAGAAAGGAACATATACTCAGTGCTCATAGTACGGTATATCCATGCAGTGCCATGATTCTTTTTATTCATTTAAGTGTCTCTTAACAAAATTACATAAATATGAATTTAGGTTAGCACAGAAGTAAATAAAAACCATTGCTCTCGTACACCACTATATCCTTTCCATGTTCCACTGAAAGGAATATAACTAATTGGAACTATGCCTCTTTCTTCTATGTGAGAGGCAGTAGAGTGCTGTGCATAAAAGCACAGCCCTGGAGCCAGGGTTCCTGGGCTTTAATTCTTGTTCCACCACTTACTTTGAGCAAATTATGTGAACTCTCTGTGCCTCAGTGTCCTCTTCTATAAAATAGGGACAATAATAAACAATAATAAAATGGTCATGGCACCTATATACTCACCTCATAGGGTTATATGTTATAAATATTAAATCAGTTAATATGAGTAACATTCTTAAAAATGCAGTAAGTCATATATATAAGTGTTAGCTATTTCTACTGATTTTAAAGTTTTGGAAATAAAATATTACATAAAATTCATTATTGTTGATAACAGATCAACACCAAAATATCTGCTATTAAGCTGATACTTATGTTAAATAGTGATGTTTTCAGCAATGGAATAAGTTTTAAATTTTAAATGTGATTGTTATTTTTTTTTCCCACAGAATAAAATCCTTTACAAAAATATGTACCCTCTCCCCTCCAGCTCACATACTCTTCCTCAAGGAGACCTTGCCACTCTCCCAGTGAGAAGTGGGATCTCTATTTCTTCTCCTTGAATTTGGGTGGTCTTACAATTCTCCAAATAATAGACGACAGTGGAAGTAAAATTCTTTACAATACAAAATACTTACCCAATGACCTTCCAAAGTAGCTAGGACTTCTTTTCCCAGTTTAAGTTTCCCTGATATTTGATTAACACAGTCACTACTCCCTAGGAATGGCTTTCAAATGAGAAAATGTTAAAACATTTTACTTATCACTTATATTTACATATAATGTAAAACCAAAACAAAAAAAAAACAACAAAAATTACTTGCATAGTTACAGTGCTCTTGAATGAACAAGCAGTAAAAAATACTGACTCAAATTTCAGTTAGAAATGTTTAATAAGAAATCTGAATTGCTGCTATGAAAAAATAGGATAAAACAAGCAGACTGTGTTAAATGAAAATAAACATATGAAGAAAGATCACACTGATATAACTGACTCATGTTCCATGTATGCTCAAATCCTGTGTCCTCACCTAACTGTCAAGACTGTGCCCTATCAATGTGACATTATCTTAAGCAATAACAACTCAGTAAACCTAAGGGAATTAAACGATCCATTGAAATAAATAACACCCCTTCCTTAAAAAATAAACACATAAAAATAAAAAGTAAAATACATAGCTAAAAAAAGCCTACAAAAAATAAACTTAGAAGGAATATATTTTTAGTTACTATAATACCTAATGTCTCTCCTTAGAGACAAAATTTTGATGCTCCAATGTAATACTTAAAGGCGTCATATATACTTAAGAACTCATTCATCATGATCTTTAAACATTATCATCACCATATAAGCAAAATTTTGCCAAGGTGAAAGAAAAATAAAAAAAAGACACTGCATCAAATAATACTTAAGAGGTCTTTTTCATTACAGCAAAATTGCTTATCAGCTGGATATCAACATAGCAGCAATTTAGTAATATTACATAGTTCACAGAAATATTTTTATCTGAACATAATATACTATTGTTCAAGAACAATTAATTCACATTAAGTTCTCAAATTTCCCTTTCATTTTAAGGCAGACAAAAATTTCCAAAGATGGCCTTGACAATAGGTACCCTCTCCCCTCCAGCTCATATACTGTTCCTCAAGGAGACCTTGCCACTCTCCCAATGAGAAGTGGGGTCTATATTTCTTCTCCTTGAATTTGGGTGGTCTTATAATTCTCCAAATAATAGACGACAGTGGAAGTGATATAATTTGGCTTCTCAGACTAGGTCATAGAAAGCAAAGGCAGCTTCTGCCTTGCTCATTGGGGCACTTGCACTTTGAAACCCTCAACTGCCAAGTAAGAAGTCTACTTTGAGGCTGTCATGCTGTCAGGAAACCAAGTCACATGGAAAGGCTGTGTATACAGGTGCTCAGATTAGCAGTCCTAGTCCTTCGGTCACCCTAGACGAGGTATCAGATATGTAGTGATAAGCCTTCAGGTGATTACAGTCCCTAACTATTGAGTCACCCATGGCCTACAAAGTCTTTCTGAGACCCCAGACATTATGAAGCAGAGATAAGTTATTCCCAATATGCCCTGTCCAAATGTTTGACTCATAGAACTCACGAGGAACAGCACAGTTATTAAGTCTGCTGAGTTTTAGAGTAATTTATTACATAGAAATAGTGACTAACACAACTGTGCCTTAGTTTACACAGCTAGACTGCAAGATGACACATATCTTCTAGTATTTGGTAAAAAACAATCCTTTAATTTATTAAGAAATTTCTGTCTAATCACTTCTTAAATCTCATCTTCTATATAATACCCACAGTTTTATTAATTAAGATGAAAAACAAAAAATGTCTTTGTGTTAATTTGAATTTTCCAAGGCTGCTATCTTAGGCTATCTGAAGATACTCACCTAGCCTTGTCCTTATCCCTTAGATGCTCTTATCTTTGACCTGACGTAAATTGTTTTCTTACATTTAGTCCTTAATTAGGAAATACATGGTGCCCATTATTCAATATTTATTGTATGGCTCTCCTTCTAGTTAGGTGATACCTACTATTATCTCTACTAACCTTTAGTTTAAATTCAAGTATTGCACTGTATCCAGTTTTTTGACATGTAATATTGACTGTTCCACCAAGCTCCAGTGTCATTGTACCATAAAGAATTCCTAAAGGAAAAATATTTGACAAAAAATTTATATGTATATGGCTCACAATAAACAGTTTAGTAATCTAATCTCCTTTTAGGAGGAACGTAATTCAAAATCACTCTGTCCTACTCAAATGAAAATCTATAATATAGACATAAAGATGGTTCTGTGGGATATAAATAGATAACAGCTGATTCACATTATGTGCAGATTCCCTATCTGTAAATTCACCTACTCAGTAAAATATCAATACCCAGAGTGCTTCTGTAGTCATTTGGAGACATGTGCAGAGTAGTGAAAAATTTGAGTCACCTGATGCACACATTCTGAGCCGAGGCTGAGCAAGGCAAACACTCTTCCTTGTTTCAGCTTCCACATTGTTTAAAAAAAAAAAAAAACTGTCCTTTTTGCAGTGTATTTACTACCATGTTTTCACATTTTTGTGCTTTTCATTGGTGGTTTTGCTGTTTAAAGTGGACCCACATGTAGTGTTGCACTGCTGTCTAGTGTTCCTAAGTGCAAGAAAGCTATAATGTATCTTATAGGGAAAATGTGTGTTAAAAGCTACATGTAGGTTTTAGTTCTATTGGCTGTTAGTTCAAGGTTAATGAATCAATAATATGTAATTAATGTTATAATGACATCAGGTTTCTTTAAATAGAAGCACACATAAAACAAGGTTATGTACTGATTGACTGGTTGATGAAAATGTTAGGACAAGAGGTTCACACAAATCCAATCTCATACTCCCCCCAGGTGCAATGGCTCAGTATTTGCTAACTCAGTGGTGACTTTATATAACCACTGCAAATAACAAGAATCAAATGCATAAGCAAAGCAAACAAAAAAACTACAGAATAAGTTCTGTGGTTAAAAGCTGGGGAAACTCTAGGTTTAACAAAGCTAAACAGGTTGTGTATGTGCTGTTGGTCTAAGATGTTAAGGCAGCCTTTAACATGCAACGTACAATATTATCTTTTGAGAGGGGAACAGACTATGTAATGTTTCTCATACTTATTTGGTTATGGAACTCTTATTTTACAAAACAATTTGTGAGGCTAGTGACTTGGGGGAACATACCTTAGAAAACATACAGGGTGAAACAGCTTATAAAAATCATTTCATATGCTCATTCACAAGCGGTTATAACTTCTTTTCTTTTTCCATGCATTGCTATAAAAAATTTTCCCTATTGTTAGCTAAGTATGGGCATGGATATCTACATGGAACATAATTTTATTTTTTCTAAATGATAGAAAATTTAAATATATTTGTTCGTATCAATTCATAAAGATATTTCACTCCATGCTTACTTCAAGCTCTAAGAATAATCTAGACTGAGGCCGTAAATTAGCCTCTTTTGTACATGCTGGGTTGGCCTTCAATAAGATTCAACCCTCCCAGGTTTCTCAACTGTGAAATAAGGCCATATCAAATAATTCCTTTTAAATTATACGTTAAGTTCTGGGATACATATGCAGAACGTGCAGCTTCGTTACATAGGTATACATGTGTCATGGTGGTTTGCTGCACCTATCAACCCATCATCTACATCAGGTACTTCTCCTAATGCTATCCCTCCCCTTGCCCCCCACCTCCCGACAGGTCCCAGTGTATGATGTTCCCCTCCCTGTGCCCATGTGTTCTCACTGTTCAACTTCCACTTATGAATGAGATCATGTGGTGGCTGATTTTCTGTTTCTGCGTTAGTTTGCGGAGAATGATGGTTTCCAGCTTCATCCATGTCCCTGCAAAGGACATAAACTCATCCTTTTTTATGGATGCAAACTATTCTATGGTATGTATGTGTCACATTTTCTTTATCCAGTTTATCACTGATGGGCATTTGGGTTGGTTCCAAGTCTTTGCTACTGTGAATAGTGCTGCAATAAACATACATGTGCATGTATCTTTATAGAATAATTTATAACCCTTTGGGTATATACCCAGTAATGGGATTGCTGGGTCAAATGGTATTTCTAACTCTAGATCCTTGAGGGATTGCCACACTGTCTTCCACAATGGTTGAACTAATTTACACTCCCATCAACAGTGTAAAAGTGCTCCTATTTCTTCACATCCTCTCCAACATCTGTTATTTCCTGACGTTTTAATGACCACCATTCTAACTGGCATGAGATGGTATCTCATTGTGGTTTGATTTGCATTTCTCTAATGACCAGTGATAATGAGCTTTTTTTGAAAAGTGTCTGTTTGTATCCTTTGCCCACTTTTCATACTGAATAATTTCTATGTTCCCAAAATAGAGGATAATTACCAAAAAAGTTATTTTTAGGATTTTAAGAAACCAGTTGGAAGGGAAGATACACATCATGACCACACTAAACTGATGCAAAACAGGTGAAAGTTCAGAATGCAGAGGTAAACCACCTGGGTTCAGATTCTGACTTGCTGCATTTTAGGTGTGTGATCTCAGGCGTATTAAGCCTCTTTGTGCTTCATTTTTCCTCTTCTATAAAAAGGGAATAATATTTCCATTTTATAGGAGCTGCTGAAATGATTAAATAAATGCATTGAATAGTTGGGTGCCTAGCATGTTGTAATGTTGTAGATGACAATTATTATGTAACACCCTTATCTGTATTTTAAATAATGGGTCAAAAAGCATAATACATTAAGAAACTGCCAAATGAGGGTGAGAAAAATCTTTTAAAAACTTGGTACATTAAAAAATAGTAAATTAAAATTTTTAAAAAGCATGGTGGTGCAAAAAGAAGAAAATCATCTTTACAGATTCTGAAATAACAGACAGTTTTGTCAAATTTGAAAATTTGCACATCAGGTAAGTGCAAAGAAATTTCATTATGATAAGTCAGTCTCTTCTGACTAAAGTATACATCACAAAAAGGTCCATTACAGGTGAATTAATTCACCACAGAAATATTCAGCAAATGATAGCAATAATCTTAAATATCTGTAAACCAAGGATGCTTTCAAACAAAATATAAGTCTGACTCCATCAATCACAAAGCATAACAAATCACAGCTACATGCATTTACTTAAAAGGAAAGCTTAATATCTAACTCAAGTATAGAAAATATTTACCTTTACAATGAGCATATGGCATCGTCATTACATAATCTTCACCTCTATTCAAGAAAGTTAACCGTGCTTCTCCCTCTAATATTGCAGATAATGAGTTTCCTGAAATAAAATGATAAAATGTTGTTTATTAAATTTCACAAAACATATTCAACCAAGTCAAAACAAACAAAATATATTTAGAACACCTACTAGACATCTACAGTGGAAAGTCTTAAAAATGTCTCAATCTCAATGTGCCCAAACATGTATTCATTGCCTTATATCCAAAACATATTTCATCCTTATTCTCATTTTTACATAATGACTACTTTTAAAAGATACAGTTATGTGCTTTTTTATAATTAAAAAAAAATTTTTTTTGAGATGGAGTGTCTCACTCTGTTGCCCAGGCTGGAGTGCAGTGGAGTGATCTCGACTCACTGCAATCTCCACCACCAGGGTTCAGCAATTCTCCTGTCTTAGCCTCCCGAGTGGCTGTGATTACAGGCGTGTACCACCACACCCAGCTAATTTTTATATTTGCAGTAGAGACAGGGTTTCCTCATGTTGGCCAGGCTGGTTTTAACTCCTGACCTTGGGTAATCTGCCCGCCTCAGCCTCCCAAAGTGCTGGGATTACAGGCATGAGGCACTGCACCTGGCCTATTTTATGAGAGTTATAAGAAAATGAGAAAACATGGAGAATACTTAATATTAATAAAACACTGTTTCGCCGTATAGCCTAATTTTCTTTTTTGAATAAAACCATTATTTTTTAGCTGTAAGTCACATTACTTTACAAATCTCAAGCTTTAAATGCTTATAATTGATATAATAATCCTATAGACAATTTAGAAAAATAAAAAATATAAAGCACCAAAATATAGTCAACAATAAAATACTATGGTAATTTCTTCTAAGTTTTCTCCTGTATGCATTTTCTCTCCTTCTATTCTCAGTTTTACTCAAGTATAAATTTACATACAGTAACTAACCCATTTTAAGTGTGAAATTCGAGTTTTGGAAATTGCAGAGTGATATAACCACCACCACAATCAAGATACAGAACTTCCCATTATCCCCAAGAAGTTCCTCCTTGCCCCTGAGCAGTCAATCCTTTCCCTCAGCCCCAGGAAACCACTGGTCCATTTTAAATCACTGGCTTTACCTATTCTAGTAATTCTGTACAGATGGCATTATAGAAGATGTAGCTTGCTATGTTTTACTTCCTTCAATTAGCACAATGTCTTTCAGGTCACCCACATTGTTGTATAAGAATTCTATTCCTTTTTATTGTTAGTTAGCATTCTGTAGCTGTGACATTTCCTTACTAGTTGATGGTCCTTAAGTTGTGTTTAGTCCTGGATTATTATGAATAATGTTGTATATACTTAAGAATATTTATGTACAAGTCTTTATGTAGCCATCTATTTTCATTTTTTCATGGGTAAATACCTAGGAGTGGAATTTCTGAGTTTACGGTACATGCATGTTTAACTCTGGACAATCATTTCTCCCACGTCAAAAAACATTTGACCATGTGTACAGGTCTACATCTGAACTCTATTCCATCCCATTAATTTATATATCTACCATTACATCAATTCCACACTGTAATGATTACCTTAGCTTTATACTAAAATTAGGCAGTGAAAGACCTCTTGTTCTTTCTCAAAATTGTTTGGCTGTTTTGGGTCCTTGGCTTTTCAAAGTAATTTTAGAGTCAACTTGCCAATATCTTCAAAAAAGCCTGCCAAGACTATGATTAGGATTGCATTGAGTCTATGGCTCAATTAATGGAGCTCTATTATCTTAATATTAAATATCTCAATATATAAACATAGTCTATCTATCCATTTATTTGGATCTTCTTTAATTTTCCTCAGTGATGTTTTAGTCTTCAGTATATAGGACTTACATCTTTTATTAAATTTATTTTTAAATATATCATTTGGATGCTATTATAATTGGAGTTGTTTTTAAATTTCATTCTGAGCCAGGCATGGTGATGTGTGCCTGTAATCCCAGCTACTCAGGAGGCTGAGATGAGAGGATCCCTCATAGTAAGACACTGTCTCAAAAAAAAAAATATATATATATATATGTATATATATATATACACACTTCTGCAAGTATTCATTTCTAGTATATAGAAATATGACTAATTTTTCTATTTTGACCATGCATCTTGAGACCTTACTAAATTCACTTATTAGTTATACGAGCTTTTTTTGTATATTCTTGAAGATTTTCTATATAATCTGGTATATAAATGGCTTATCTTCTTCCTTTCAATCAGTATGCTATTTTTCCCTTTAATTTGCCTACTGCATTGGCTAGGACCTCTAATACAATTATGCATAGAAGTAATGAGAGTAAACATCCTTGCCTTGCTCTTGATCTTAGGTAGAAATTATTCAGTTTTCACCTTAAAAGTATGAAGTTGGCTATGTATTTTTCATAGATGCCTTTAATCTAGTCCTAGTTTCTTGAGGACTAAGAAATAAATAGGTGTTGAATTCTGTCAAATCATTTTTCCGTATCTATTGAAATCAAACTTTTCTTCTCTGTTATTCTATTAATATGGTAAATTACATTTTTATCAGATGATAAACCAATCTTGTATTCCCGAGACAAAATCCATTTCATCATGATATATTATTCTTTTAATATATTGATCATACTTTTACTTATATGTATATGTCCATATATTATTCTTCCTATATGTTGATTTGTTACTACTTAAGAATTTTTGCATGTATGTTCATAAAGGATATTAGATCTGTAGTTTATTTTCTTGTAATCTCTGGTTTGGGGATCGGGATAATCCTGGCCTCATAAAATGATCTGAGGACTGTTTTTTCTTCTATTTTCTGCCAAAAATTGTGTAGAACTGTTATTTCTGCCTTAAATCTTTAGAAGAACTCAAGACATCTGGGCCTGGAGTATATCCTTGAAGAAAGATTTTAAATTACTAAATCAATTTATCTGATATAAGAGTATTACAATTTTACACCACTTCTTGGGTCAGCCGTGGCAATTCGTATCTCTTAAGAAAATCTGCCCATTTCAAATTTCTCTCTTTTAATTCTGTTTTTGCTTCATATTGAAGTTCTGTGCTTAGGTACATAGGCATTTATGATTATTATGTTATCCTGAAGAATTGAACCTTTTTATTTCATTATGAAATGTTCTTTATCTCTATTAACATGTTTTTGTCTTGAAATCTATTTTATTAATATACTCACTCAACTCTACTTGTACTTAATACTTGCATAGTTTAGCTTTTAACTTTTACTTTCCATTTACTTTCTTTCTTTTTTTTTTCCTTTCTTGAGACAGAATCTTGCTCTTGTTGCCCAGGCTGGAGTGCAGTGGTATGATCTCAGCTCACAGCAACCTCTGCCTCCCGGGTTCAAGTGATTCTCCTGCCTCAGCACTCCGAGTAGCTGGGATTACAGGTGTATACCACCATGCCCAGCTAATTTTTGTATTTTTAGTAGAGACAGGCTACATTTTGGCCTGGCTAGTATGGAACTCCTGACCTCAGGTGATTCACCCACCTTGCTCTCTCAAAGTGCTGGTATTACAGGACTGAGCCACCATGCTCGGCCTACTTTCCACTTACTTTCAACCTATTTGTGTGTCTACATTTAAGGTATGTTGGTCCTTGCTGTTTTAGCTAATCTGATCATCACTGTTTTTAAATGAGATTATTTCGGCCATTAAGACTGATACAATCATATTATTGGGTTTTGCTCTATCATTTTGCTATGTGTTTTCTATCTGTCCCCTCTGATTTTTGTTCCTTGATTGGGCTTTCCTGTTTCTTTTATAAACTATTTAAACTATTGTTTAAAATTTTCAAATAATTTCATTTTAATTTTCTTACTGACTTTTTGCCTATACTTTCTGGTGGTGATTTTTCTTCGTGTGTGTGTGTTTGCTCTAGTGTAGGACTTCTCAATGGTAGCATTCCTGACATTTAGGGGACCGGATAATTATTTGTTGTAGGGAGTTATCCTGTGCATTGTAAGATGTTTAGCAGCATTTCTGGCATCTACCTACTGGATCTCCCAACTGTGAGAACCCAAAATGTCTTCAGACATTGCCAAATGTGTCCTGAGGAGAACCACTGCTTTAGAGATTACAATATTTATCTTCAAAATGTCACAGTTGGCTGGGTGCAGTGGCTCATGCTTGTAATCCCAGCACTTTGGGAGGCTGAGGCGGGTGGATCACTTGAGGGCAGGAGTTCAAGACCAGCCTGACCAACATGGTGAAACCCCATCTCTACTAAAAATACAAAAATTCGCTGGGTGTGGTGGTGGGTACCTGTAATCCCAGGTACTAGGGAGACTGAGGCAGGAGAATTGCTTGAACCCGGGAGGCAGAGGTTGCAGTGAGTCGAGACTGTGCCATTGTACTCACAGTTAATCTTTTACCACTTTATATAGAAAAGAAAATTTTACTACTTCTAGGTCCATTCTCTTCCAGGCTTATATACTACAGTTACGTGTGTTAAATCTGCATATGTTATAAAACTCACAAGATAATGCTGACATTTCTGTTTTGAACAGTTACATGTATTAAAAGGAAAAAATAAGAAAAAATGTCTTTTGAATTTACCTATAGGTTAACCAATTCTGACAATCTTAAATTCATTCTAGATTTAATAGACTCTTTTAAATTATAAAGGAACAGATAGCTCTGATGTATATAAATTGTACCATAACACAGAAAAAAGGCCCACTGATGAAGTAATCCCAGAAAGCAAGCTATGCACCTTGTACTCAATAAAAATTTCTATAAAGTTAGAACACACACTCAGAAAAGCCATTTATACTATAGTCAGGGTAGAAGAATGGAGGGATGAAAGGTGAAGTAGGTAAGAAATATATCAAATATAAAATACATATAAACTTAAGGGAAAAAAAAAACAAGCAATCACCATCTTAAACCAAACAAGGTTAAAAAAACAAACAAACAAACCCAAAACCAAATGAAAACAAACATCAAGGGAAATAAAAGATACCTTGAAGAAATATAACAACACATACCAGGTTCCTGATCAAAAACTACTCTTAGATATCCCTGTGGCAGACTTAACTATGGCTCACCACATGCTCAGGTAACCAAACCTTGGATTTCTGTTTACATACTTTATTTTTCCTTTTTTATCATAATAATTTTTTTCACTCAGGTTTAAAATTCTTTGGTTGAAATTTAATTGATCTTCATTTAAACATTTTAAAAAACTATATAAAAGCATTTTAAGGTTATATATGTTTTACTGGTATATAGCTTTGGCAATGATTTGTTTGAACTGTCAAAGTTTTTGTATTAATGTTTCCTACTATAACCTTTTCTCTATTTTCCCTTGTACTTGCAAACAGTTTTTTTTTGGTATGTTATTTAGTCCAAAGTTAAATATATTTACCAACTGACCCTGGGCCAGGTCTCCTAAACATACTTGAATTCTTCCTCTCTGTTCAAAGACTACAATAGAAAGACTGATCCCTTAGATACACTGAGATGAAACAAAAAAAACTGGTCAAAGGCAAAAGAAATACTTTATGCGCTAAACGGCTATAATGGGCAATCATTCTGTCTTTTCATAAGTGATGTTTGTGATATATTTACATATATGTGATGAATACATAAGCCACACCTTTATGAGTGGGCAGAAAAAAGCCATTATTCAAGGAAAGATGACACTTAAAATGACAAACTCCATGTTGCAAATAGCCCATGACACTTACTAAATAAAAGCTCACCAGAAAATAATACCTCCCAGGAATGGGTGCAAGTTGGGACAGGGGGAAACTCACCATAAAACTTGGACTTAGCCAGGATACTACCACTAAGACAAAATCCATCTTTTCGATTACTAACATAAAAGGCAGATATTGGTGGATGATGGGACACCTATTAAACACAAGAAAAAACATGTATATAAAATATAAAAACATGTTTATATAAAGTATAAAAAGATAAGCATATTATTGTGCCATTATCAAAAGTTCAAGTCTTATAATGAGTAAGAAAAAACATTTAATAAGCAGTAAAATTAAATATTGATGGTTATAGTAACCAGCTTCCTGTCTCCTAGTGAGACCTACACTCCTGGTATTCATATAGGCCCCTCTTATATTGCACTGAAATTGGTTTGTGTGGAAGTGATACTATGTAATTTCTGAAATTAGGTTACAAAGCACCTTCCACGTTGGGGGCTCTCTCTGCCAATCTCTCAATCATTAGTTCTGAAAAGCCATTTTTGAGATTGTGAAAAACCCTACAGAGAGGCCTATGTGATGAGGAACTGAGTTCTTCTGTCAACAGCCATGTGATGAACCTGGATATGAATCTTCCTGTCCAGTCAAGCCTGTAGATGACTGCAAAGCTGGCTGACAGTTTGACTGCAAGCTCATTAGAAATCCTGAGCCGGAACCACCCAGCTAAGCAGATCTCGGACTCCTGAACCTCATCATATGAGATAATAAATACTGCTTTAACCCATTCAGTTTTGGCAGTAATTTTTTAGACAGCAATGGATAACTAATATAGTGATTAGTCTTCATATGGATTACTGAATGACTATAGGAAACAAAAATAAAAAACACGTTATTTAATAATCTAATGCCTTCAACAATATATTTACTTCTATGTTCTCTTACATGAGACAAACTAAAATCAGCATCTCAAGCTTCTTAATTTCATGAAGAATAATTGACTTTTAAAAAATTTAATATAGATGAGTGGTTTTGACTTGAGGGGGTTATCAAAACCTCTAGAAGAAGGTTTTCCAAAGAATACACGGTCTTCTCATTCTCCTTATACTCAAAGTGAGAATTACCATAATAAGGAGCCACTGTTATTGAAAGAGAATGTCATATTCCTCAAGTTTATGCAGACAGAAGACTGAAAGTCATGATTATGGATGTATATGAGTTCAAATTAATGAAAGTTTAAAAACTAAAATATTTTCTGTCTGTATACAACAAAAAGAGAGGTATCACAGGGGAGAAAAGGGAATTAAAGAAGCTAACAATTCAATTAGGAAAATAAATATTCTGTAAAAAGGTAAATGATACGAATGTTAAAATAATAGCTTAATGGATAATCACAAAAACAATATAGAAGTTTGAGAAGGGAAAAATCACTGGGAGCTGCAGTCATTTGGATCATGAAGGATAAGTGAGTCAGGGTTTGTTTTGATAAAGAATAGCTAAGAAGAAATACTGGAGCGGGAGAATTAAATTTAAAAATGAGGCAAGAAAGTGTAAGATCAGGTTACCTAGTCATGAAGTGCACAGGTTTGACTACTGTGGAGAACTAGAAAGGTATTAATTTGAGATAAATTTGGAAAAGATATAGAGGACTTTGAATGCCAGACAAATGAATGCCACACCACTGAATAATTCTGAGCATGATCAAAAGTTGTTTTGGAAATATGAGTTCGGCCAAAAAAAAAAAACATTAAAAAAAGGGCAGGGGGTATAGCAAAGGAAAAATAAATATTTATTTTTGGTCAAAGGATTCCATAAGCATAATAATAATACCTATGAATATGACATTTAGTAGTATTTAATACTAAAAGGTTAAATGTTTACCAAATGTGCACAAGTAAGAAAGGCTAAATAATAGTGAGTTTACTGAGTAAATATTTTCTATAAAAATATTCCAGTAACTTCCAGATAAGTTTTGTTTCCATACATGCATTTCTAATACCTGTTCAGCAATATAAAAAGTTTTGCTGTTTGTTCTGGGATGAATCCATAAACAACGAAAAGTCTCACCAAGTATAGGATTATAAGGTTTCTTCAGTCCCTGGTTTAAAAAAAAAATGCAATTTCAAATTACAAATACAAAGGATTCAAAATAGCTTAAACTAGTCAAAATGGGTTTAACTGTACCATGTGGGAACCATCCTTATAAAATTTCAGAGTAAATAAAATTTACATTAAATAAAATTAAACGACTTCAATCATAATACAGGTCTAAATCATCAGGTATTTTGCAATTTTGCTAAGTCAAAGAAGCCCAGTAATGTAATTGTTAACAATCTACAGATTACATAAAATATAAAGCACTCATACAACACTAAAGACAATAACATACAAACAAACATTACCTTTGGCTTTTTATAGAATCCTGACAAATACCATTTCACTACTTTCTTCAAACGGAAATAAGGATTTTCTTCAAGAGCAGCCCTAAAACACAAAATGGTAAACAAAAATTTTACAAAATAAAACACAAATTCTCTCTCACATTAACTAATAACCAAGTATGAAATATGATTGGAAAACATAATTCTTATTTTAAATGGATGACAAAACAAGCATGTAATCAATTTTCAACCATGTAAATCCATTTCTGTTTTTCTTAACCTGGTCACATTTTCCCATTCTTTGGTACACTGCCCGGGTCTTTGCTAAAGTAGATTTTGGAAACTCTCCAAACCAAGGTTTCTGAATTGGGATTCTGCAAAACCTGAGATGTTGTTAGTGGCTCTGTGAAAATTGTGATTGAAAAAAATAAAAATGGATTTTGGATTCATGCACTGTGTGATTTCTAGCATTTGCAATGATAGGCAGTGGCCAAGCAGCCTCATTAACAATTCTGATAGAAGTCTTCAGCCTCATATGTCAGTGAAGGACTAATGTTTACTTGGTTGAGTCCATTCTCAGTTGTTGATGTTAGAGTAGATCAATGGTAACTGGTGGGTGCTGTAGAGCATGTAGGAGAGAACATATGTTGACGTTAGCCTCTTTTGTGCAAAGTACCTATCTAAATATAGGATTTTATGGGTATGCAGTCCTTAGTACAAAACACAGAAGTTTCAAATTACAAATATGAAGCAGAGTCAAAATAATTAAATCAATACAGAAGGTTTTAACCTATTTTTATTCTTCAACCTGCTCTTGTGTACTATCAACTGATTTTCCAGAATAAAAACTCAACCAGAATAATGGATAATCAAAGAGTAATTTTCATTTTAAAGAAGTTTGTAGGAGCCATGACTCAGCTGCCCCCCATACAATTCTGCTGTTGTTGTAATCATTGCAAAAACCTGATTGTGTATGTCTGAAGTAAATTTTACTGAGAAGTTGTTTTTGTTATTGTTGTTTTCTGTTTGTAATGTAGTTACTATACCCTTATTTACAAAAAGGCATTTATGTTTCACAAGCATGTCTGACAGTCCAATGTGGTGATTTTTTAAAAAATGAGATGTGAGACAGAAGAGCACAGACCTAGGCTTATTGACAATTGTGCTAAGTTGAAAGCTTGTGTTTTTCTGGAGTAGCAACCCTCTGATTGCTCTCTGTCCATCTTGGTTTAAATTCCCTTATTCTGCAATTTTATTTTAAAATTAAATATATATAGTTCAAAAGTCAAAGCAATATAAAGAGGTACACATGTCTTGTTACTGCCCCATCTCTCCACACTGTTCCTACTTACCTTCTATAGGTAACTTTTAAAAAAAGTTTCCTTCTAAGTTTTCTTTAGGCATAAACAAGCATATATAAATAAACAGTCCTGTTTTTCTTCAAAAAGGTTTGCAAACTATACATACTCTTCTGTACACCTTGCTTTTTTCACACACAATTCTGGAGGTCCCTCCAGATCAGTTTGTGGAATTCTTCCTTATATGGGTGGATGTGTCACACATTATTTAATCAGTACACTGTGCTGGACACTGGAGTTACATCTAATGTTTTATTATTACAAACACTGCTGCAACGATCTTGTGTATATGCCATTCTGTATATGTGGCATTATATCTGTAGGAGTTATTCCTAGAAGTGAGATTAGTGTATCAAATGATGAATGCATCTAAACTTTTGGTAAATACTGCCAGATTACCTTCAGGGTGCTGTGCTAGTCTGCACTGTGCATGGTGGTGCATGATCACCCCTGGTTGCCAACACAACCTTGGCAACAGTGTGTAATGCCAGAAAAGTACAATCTTTCTATTTGGGACAGGGGGCATCTCTCAAGATCTTGTGATTCACAGGAATTTGCCTTATATTCTGAGAGAAATGAATTTCCAGACAGATAAAAGTGCAGAAGATATTAGAACTAGTATATAAAAGATTTTTGACTTTTTGTCAATGTGATGGATAAACAACAATAACTTACTATAATTCAAATGTGCATTTTCCTTATTTTGCATGAGGTTTTTACATGTTTAAGGACCGTTCCTATTTCTTCATTTTCCAACTGCCCGGTAATTTCTTCCACTCCTTTTTCTATAGGTTTCCTTTTCTATTTTAAAAGCTTTTTTTAGGGAGGTTAAACATTTTGTCTGATGAAATTTGCAAAAATTTCCCAGTTTATCGATTATCTTTTGACTCAGCTTATTATTTTTTTCAATGTTCGCTCATGAAATTTATAGACAGAAACTAGTAAAAATCAGGTCACAGGGCCAGATATCAGTGGCATAGAAAGCACAGTGCCTTGAAACACCATTATTGGTAGAATAGGGGCATCAGGTAAGTAAGAATTGGAAGCATGGACACAAAGTTGCTGTTCCTTGCAAAGTTTACTGGTTTTCCAAGAAATTGCTGGGACAGAGGTGGACAGCACCTCCTCTGCCTCCTTTAGGTATGCCTTCTTCAAAATTACACTCAGGATCAGCTGGCAGCTTCAGAAACAAAGAAAATAAGGATTTGTTCCAAAAGCTAGCAACTGGCAGGACATTTTAGTTCTGGTAAGCCATACAAACCTCACAAGCATGCAGACAGGTAAGTATGAGCAAAAACAGAGGCCCCAGGATGGGACTGAACAAGGGCTTTCATAGAGGAGAACAAATGATGCCAATCACCTCTCTCTGTGTTAGGTTAGTGAACTGAGGTTAAGGAGCCTACAACACCAGTGTTCAGTAAAGGGTAGAATTCTTGTTTTCCTCAAGCTTATGATATCTCAATTTCACTTCATAAATGGTAACATTATAGCAAAGTATTAAATATGCTTCTTACTAAGAAGTGGTAGAGAACAGAGGGTGATGTGTCATTAGAGCCTGATTTTGGAAAGGAATGATAATTGAAAATAGTACTCTTGAGAGCTTCTAAAATCATGAAGTATTGTCTATTTTAAGAAATAAGAATCTACTTACTCAGAGAGGAAATCTGCATGATAGTAGTAATCTGAAAGTTTATCCAAGAAAGAACGGGGTTCCAAAATAAATGTAGGCAGAACCACCTTGGATAGGTCCATGCCAGGACGGACTTGTTTCAATAGTGTCCAGATAAGGCTTTTGTTTTCTTCAGACACAGTTTCTGTTTGAGAAGCCTCACCTGCCTTTATCAATTAATGAAAATTACCAAAACATTACATTTATTTCAGACAGATATGTAAACAAGTCAGCTAATGTTGAAAATATGAATTCTTTTCAGGACTACTCCAAGCATTCTTTAAATGTGGAAACAAAAAGTAATAAAATCTATAGCTATAAAACTTAGGTAAAAAGGGTAGCTGAAAAAGACATCAAAGTGAACAATATATACAAGAGATCCACTAGAAAAATATTATAGCCTATTATTTTACACTGCATTTACTTCCATGATGCACTGGCAATAACAAAGTTATAAACTCATGCTTCCTTGCAACTTACTTTGCACTGGCAATGACATCAAGCAATATCCTACTTCAAAATCAAGCTTGAAGAAAATGTAAACTTTAAATTTAATGGAATATATTGGTATTTATGTGAGTATTTGTGTTTAGTTGTTTGTAAATCCTAATATATTTCATATGTGTGCAACTTTTAAAATATCACATTCTATCACAGAAAAATAGGCAATAGATGAAGCAAATAATATCTTCAATTTCATTTAACAACTCCCAAGAATATGAAAATTCAGAATCTCTAAAAATAACAGACTTCTACCTCTCCAAGTTCTTCATGGCTCTGTTCAGTGTAGGTAGCCTCCTTTAAAGGCTCAACAGGCTCGGGTTCGATATATGAGTCATCTTGTCTTTCTGATGTATCTGTGTCACTTTCTTCACTTTTCCCCATCACCTCATTGTCAGACTCATCATGTTCTTGATCGTTTTCTTTATCAGATTTATCAGAATACATATCTTGGTCCTTAAAATGTTGTCGTTCAATTTCACTATCATTTAACCTTAAGGGAAAGAATTTTTAGGAGGAAGAATAAAGGATGTTAAGAATGCTCAATTCATAAATAAAAATTATATACAACATTTATTGAGAATTTACTATGTGCCAGACAGTGTTCTAAGTGTTTTACATAGTGTTAATTCACTTAATCTTCAAAATAACCCTATGAGATAGGTAATATTATTATTCTCATTTTACAGATTAGTAAACAGAGGCATAGAAAAGTTAAAAACCTGGAGAAATGTGAAAAGATGATACTCTGAGCTCTTTGCCTCTCTACCAATTGGGACTAAAATCTTCCAAAACCAAAATTTTAGACTTCTTGCTAGATATTTTTCTTAGTTTTTCAAACAGCATCACTTCCATCAATCTCACTGTCACCTATGGTATGAAGAAAAAATGCAGGTCCAGATAATCCGATTCTCAACTGAACTCAAATAAATTATGACTTTCCACCTGTATATGGAGGTTTCCAAAGTCACCTCATGAGCCCAAGAAAAAGATATGAAAATGGTAAATGGTAAACAATTATATTAAATTCTATTCGTCTGAAAGGTTTAATCCTGAGCAAAAATCCAGAGAATTAAAAATGAAAATTTCCGCTGAAGGAAATGAACCTATGGACTAAAATCAAGTAAGTTTTGCTGAATCTACCCTATTCTCACTTAAAGTGATTAGGGTAAATAGTCTGTACAAAAAGGGGAAAGTCTTGGAAAGAGGTTCCAACAAATACCCATTCCTCTGTCAGTAGCCCACCCCATTCCATCCTATCTCACTCAGGCACCAGGTATTTGGGATTAAGATAAAGCTCCAGATTGTAGGTCTGCAAAGAAATAAGATAAAAGGTCAGGTAATGGAGATTTTCAAGAGAGTGGGGAAAAAAAGAAAAAAAAACCCAAAAAACCTGGGCAACATAGTGAGACTATGTCTCAATAAATAAATAAATAAATAAATAAATAAATAAATAAGCAAGCAAGCCAGCCCAGTGTGGTAATACAGGCCTGTAGTTCTAGCTACTGGGGAGGTTGAGACTGGAAGATCAGCTTGAGCCCAGGAGTTCCAGGTTACGGTGAGCTATGACTGTGTCACTACACTGCAGCCTGGGCAACAGAGTGAGACCCTGGCTCTAAAAATTTTTTTAAAGTAATATAGAGAGAGAGAAAAAAAAGAAACAGGCAAAAGGATAGGGAAGAAATGTCTAAATCAGGCTACATGGAGAAGAGGAGAATAGCAGTCTAACTTTAAGAAGAGCAACCTCAATGCTGATGAAAGTAACTACAGAGCAGAAGCCAAGGGGTGGGGAAAGGGAGGAAATGGAAAAGTCTGATGTTTTTCCTGCAAAGCAACAAAAAGACCTGAACCTCAAGAAAGTCTTTGTACTACTGCCCAGTTTCCTTGGAGAAATGCTTTTTTAGTGTTAACTACAATAAATGCTTCAGGGAATAAAACCACAAATAGGATAGTTTCATTCCAAACAGGATATAAATGAATTTCACAAATACCAGGTAGAGTAAGTCCAGTGCCATTACTACAAACGTGTTACTCTACAGAAAGACAGATTATGTCTCATAAAGCTTCACATATGATGTAATATTTTAGACTGATCTTGAAGAATATATAGACAGGAGAAAAGAGCAAGGAGGAGTAGGCAGAAATCATTCTTAATAGAAGGGACATCATGCACAGACAAGGTGAATAATTAGCATGGCTATATTTGGGAAAGATAAAGTAAATCACATTGGCTGGAATCCCTAAGGAAATACATTTCTACACCTGATTATAGCAGCTAAACAAATTTTAAGCCAGGTCTTAGGCCATATAACAGGAAGATATGCAAATTTCAGTCCTAGATACACTACTAAAATTCTAGGCCTGCCAACTAATTTTGTGAACAGCACAGTCTCTGAAACATTACCAGATCAGTGGCAATATCTACTTACTGGAAGTTGTCACCACTGTGGAGATTGTTAGCACGTAGTAAGCCATAGAAAGTTACATGTGTGCTATCTGATGAAACGCTTAGGTCATGTTCCTTTCCTTCTCTGATCATTGTACGTTTAAGAAGACTAGAACATTTCAAAGCCAGCTCCAAAGCGTCCATCCAGCACCTTCCTAAATGAACACAGATTCATAAGCAGTATAATTTTTAAAACTATGAAACTAGCATGCATCTTAACTTACCCTGTTACCACTATTTCTTTGAGAAACATGCACTAGAAAAGTTAATCTGAACATAACATCTGCTAGAACTTTTTAATGCAATCTTTCAGTTTTCCAAATGCTTTTCACATACTAAGCAGCTACAAACCACTGATAAATGAATAGTATACAGCATGCATTAGAAAGTATACCCAATCTAAAATAAACATACTTTATTTTTCAAATCTTAGAACATTAACAAGCAGTATAATTTGAAGGTATCAAGCAAGGTACATAAAATATACTGGAGGATTTATGATTCTACTATAAACAAACTATCTGAAGTAATTGTTTTTGATAATAGGAGGTCTATCCTCAAGATTAACATCCATTCTACTTGTATGTATGAAACTTTTTAAGTCAGGAAAATGCCTATATAATGCTACTATTAACTGCCATATTAGTTAAGAGAAACATTAATAGTTTTATTTTTTAAATAAAAATTTAAAAGTGAATTAGCAGAAAACTTTTCACTTATATTTGGGGCTCTTAATTTTCATATATATCACTTCAAGATTTGCTGGGAATATCAGTCAAGTAAAGCATTTTCATATTGAAAGCTCATACCTATATTTTAATAAAAAAAAAATCATCTGAGGCCAGGTGTGGTGGCTCACGCCTGTAATCCCAGCACTTTGGGAGGCCAAGGCAAGCGAATCATGAGGTCGAGTGTGAGACCATCCTGACCAACATGGTGAAACCCTGCCTCTACTAAAAATACAAAAATTAGCTGGGCGTGGTGGCGTGTGCCTGTAGTCCCAGCTACTCGGGAGGCTGAGGCAGGAGAATGGCTTGTACCAGGGAGTCGGAGGTTGCAGTGAGCTGAGATCGTGCCACTGCACTCCAGCCTGGCAACAGAGCGAGACTCCATCTCAAACACAAAAACAAACAAACAAACAAACAAACAAAAAAACATCAGATAAAAGTAAACTTTGGAAGGTTACAAGATTCCCTACACCAACCTTGTCTAAACTACGAAACATGAAAGCATGAAAGTGAGGACAAAATCTGTTATTAAGATTTGAAAGCTACCTTGATATCACTTAAGTTTTTCTCTCCCCATATTTGCTTCATGAATTAAGTATTAAAGGAGGAATAAAAAAGGTTGTACTCGAATGTCTTATGTAAAAAAAAAAAAGTATATGTCTCATAAATGGTAACATTTAGTAGTAAAATATAAAAAGTATTAAATGTTATCTTTAAAATAAAACATGAGTTACCATAAAGATCACTAACAAGTTAAAAGGTGTTAATATGTCCAGGGAGGATGAAGAAGAAAACTCTGAACTGCTAACTCATGGATAAATCACACAATGCTTCCTTTCTATCAGATTTCCCTATTTGTTTATTAAGTTACTCATATATTTAGCATTCAAAGCAATTTATGATTACCATGCTTCTGCTGCAAATGCCATATTAAAAATATATTTCCCCAGAATAATACAAAGTGGCATAAAAAAACTCTTAAAAATGAAGACCAAAATCCAATCCATCAAAAACTATACTTACCATCTGACTCTGAAGTAGCTCGGATGATCAAATAACTGCTAGGTAAGGGCTGAGTAATGGATCCAACCGCTTCACCTTTTGGACCCTTAATAACAAAATAAACAAAATAAATGGTAGAGAGTAAGTATTATGAGATCTCAACTTTATACTATCCAATATTATCTGTAATAATCTAAATCAGGTATGGATTATAATCTAAAAGCAAATAAGCTTTAATTTCATCATTCTTGATAATGCAAATGTTAAGTATTAAGAAAAATTTTCTAACAAATACATCTCCTTAGCAGAAAACTGAACAAATTAATTATCACTTAAATATTACCTCTATATATTGCTTACATACTAAAAAGAACCTGCAATTTACCATATTAAACCAAATTTTAACTTAACAATGTCCATCCCATGGATACAACTAATGAGATAAGAAATACTAAATTTCTAGAAGGCTAAAGAAAGCATCTGGAAATAGAATTATAATTCAAAAGAAAAAGAGAAATGAATTTTAACTGGGTCTAAGGAAAAATAAATCTCTACTTTAAAACCAATGACATATACCTGTTTTTAAACACCAACTATATAAGCTGATTTTATTTTTCCAGAAACATGAAAGAAAAAGACATTCTGTTGTTGTTGTTGGCTAGGGTTGTTTTATAAGTATACAATACCAACACTAATTAATATCACCAATGCTAAACTTAGGTAGACACAAATCTAGAAAGGAAATTAAGTATTGAATTTAAAATATAATTTTGATACAAAAGCTTAATTTTTAAGTTGTTTTCAAAGGGTTCTTTAAAGTTATCAGGTCAAAAAACAAAACAGATTTCCAAAACGCATAAAACGTTAGAAAGTAAAGATGTAGATTCAAAATGAAAACAGAAAAAAAAATTAATATGGCTTTAACAAATACCGTAATATTCTGCATTTTCAAATAGCTTTACAATTTATGGGACATGAAATCAGACTGCCTGGGTTTCAATCACGGCCCCATGCTAGAAAAACAGAGTTCAATCTCTCTATGTGTATAATGGGAAGAAACTGTATCTTCCTTATAGGTATGAGAATTAAATAAATGATTTCATGTAAAATACTAAAGTACTTGACATGAACTCATAGCTGTTACTATTTCCTAATCATAAACACTGGCTTCCAAAATATTTAAACAATATCCTAAGTAGGTTTTGCTTGTGGGAAGTATTTATATAATTATACAGATTTCTCTCTTCTTCCAATAGTAAGAATTAAATATTATAAATTTGACATTAAAATCATTAATGGCTTAAAATTTATTTTAATGCTTGCAATTCCTAACAGTAGTAGAATACTATATTTATATATACACACACATATGTGTATATATATAGTATTTTTGTATATGTGTATATGTATACATATATTTTGTTGATGTTGTTTAAAAAGGTTTTGAAAGTCATTTTCTCCACTTGAGAATCGCTTAATATATAAATGTCAGAGGTTCGGGGGTTTAAATTCTTTCCCCTGCGGGAAGCACCTAACCTCAGAATGGAACTAACTCGGTAATCCCAAATTTATTCTTGCTGTGACTCCAGGCTACTGAAATAAAGATTTAAAAGTACAAGTTTTTTTCTAGGTGTATGTATATTGCATTATTAAGCAATACCCTCCCCGCCCCACAAAAAGGATTAGGCTACTTTTCGTTAACCGTAATCTCAATGAGGTGGTTTTCCCTAAAGGAGAAATTCTAACTGGCCTTCTTAGAAACTAAAGCAATGATCATTTTGTAAAAACTTAAACTAGGCTAGGTATGGTGGCTCACATCTGTAATCCCAGCACTTTGGGAGGCTGAGGCAGGAGGGCCCAGGAAATCAAGACCAGCCTGGGCAACATGGAAAGACCCCATCTCTACAAATTTTTTTAAAAAAAATTAGCTGAGCATGGTGGCATGTGCCTGTGGTCCTAGCTACTTGGGAGGCTGGGGTGGGAGAACTGCTTAAGCACAAAAGTTTCAGGCTGCAGTGAGCAATGATCACGCCACTGCAGTCTAGCCTAGGTGATAGTAAAATCTTGCCTAAAAAACACACATACATACACAAAACCACTTAAACTTGACTCATTTATTCTGTTAGTATAATACTTTTTTTTTTGAGACAGGGTCTTGCTCTGTTGCACAGGCTGAAGTGCAGTGGCATGCTCATGGCTCACTGAAACCTCCTTGACCTCCCAAGCTCAAGTGATCCTCCCATCGCAGACTCCTGAATAGCTGGGACTACAGGTACATGTCACCATATTCGGCTAATTTTTGTATTTTTTATAGAGACGCAGTTTCACTATGTTGCCCAGGCTGGTCTTGAACTCCTGAGCTCAAGCGATCCAACTGCCCTGGCCTATCAAAGTGCTGAGATTATAGGAATGAGCCACTGCACCCAGCCACAGTAATGCTTTTCAGTTATAAAAAACATTAATGCTTCATCTTTAAAGAAACCTGTCTCTTTCTCAAGAGTAAGTAATTAAAAAAAATTTTTTTTTAAAGAGTAAATAAGATTGCTTCTGCTTATAATAGGCTTCCCATCACACCTTTACATCACTACAGGAAAGACCACAAAAAAAAAAAAAAAAAAAAAAAGGCAATTTCTGTTCCAGGGAATTCTACTTACCATTTTGATAAAGAGAAAAAACATGGGGCGGGCCGCGGGAAACAAAACAAAACCAACAACAATAAATATAATACAATGTTACAAAGCTGAGTTAGTAATTACAAACTGAAAAACATAGTACAAATTGAATCCCCAAGGGCAAAAGAGATAAAAAGATGCAATATAAAAAGTTAGACCTCAAAAGTAAAGCTTTTTGGTGCACATTTTGTTGTGAGTAGAGGCAGAATGGGGAATAATGCACTGGAAAGCACAACAGATTTATAAGTCCTGGCAGAGGACGAATCTCATTTGATTGATTTATCTCAGTTCTATTCATGGATTATCATCTTTACCTTTCACCTATATAACAAGCGCTTACATACCTTCACTGCCCAAATAGATTGCTCCAAAGGATGGAAAAGTTTGAAACAAAAGCCATCCTTTTTTGATGGACGTTCAATGATTTCACAGGCATTCAGAAGAACTGTTCCTACCCACTGACCATTTTTTTGGGTTTTATAGATCAGTAGCACCCCAGGTTTCAACACACACCATAACTTGGTCCAGCTCTTTAGAGTACCACGAATCTACAGAAAGATAAATTTATTTTAAAAATGAAGATCTGTTCTCCAAGGTCTAAACCAAAAAATTGCAAATACGATGTTTTAATCTAAAATTTCCATAACATGCACACTTTAAATATTTTATTTAAAAGCCACTACATGGCAAGCACAGCAAACAGACATGAAAATGACACGGCTCTTGTTTCTAAGACACTTAAATTTTAGTGAGAGACAGGCCAACAGTTTCGAAATAGTGTACTAAGTAGAATAATTTTCCTAATCTCCCTGACCAGGTCAGGGGCCATTAAAATATACTTTCCTAGTACTGAGATTCTTCTTTTTGTAACATTGATCATGGCTGTAATCTTATTTGTGTGTATATGATGATTCTGCTTAAAATAATTTTTCCCCTTTACCACATCAACAGTGCTGAAAACACTGCTGGCACACACTAGGCATTCCCTAAGTATTTGGTGAGTGGTAGGAAAAGAAAATAATTTCCTCCTAGCCCCTAAAATTACCTTATTCAAATTACTTTGTTCCCAGTAATTACATAAAGTATGCCATATAAATTTATTGGAGGATATTTTAAAATACAAGTTACATGAATCCCTATACTTTCATAAAATGTTCCTTATCCTAGGGTTTAACGCTATGTCAATAGTAAGTATAAAACTACTTTTTCTATAAATTTCTATTTCTATCACCTATTAAAATTGTATCTATGCAATTCAGTGAACTCAAAATAGTGAAATGATATTAATATTTAGATCAAAAATAAGAATTATACTTTTATTTACTATAAAACATCTGTTATTTCAATGCACCTACATGAAGTATGAAATAATACAGGATTCCATAATCCCCCAAATAGGCATACCACAGTAACTCTCAACAAGAAACATTTAGAAAGAAGGAGTTTGGAACCAGGCATGAAGAAAAGAGAAAATCTAAGATATGTGTATAAGTAAAAGAATGGTAAGACAAGAGAGGCAAAAGGAAGACAGGTACTCTGAAATAACATTTTGGATCATGGAGATGCAACAGAACACGGAGGACAAATTATCAGAAGGAAGGTAAGGTAGAGAAAGTCAGCCAGAGAATGTGTTGGGGACTTAATAGAGGGCAGCTTTAACTCTGAAAAACCTAAGTGAGATCTTGAGCTAATGCACTTCTACGTAGAGTCAAAACAAGTTGGAAGGTGTTATTAGCACAAGATTGAAAACCCTAGAATTAGTTACCTGAATTGTCAGGGAAACGATCACTAGACTCTCATTTTAGTGAGGGGAGTCCTGTGACAGATCTCATAAGGCTTACGAGGTCAGAGGCCTTAGTAAGTCTTGGCAAAAGTGGAAAGTTTTCAGGGTTGGAGTGATTCTCAGGTACACGCCAAGTACTGAAATTTCCTGTGAGTCAGAGTCCTACAAGATCATTCTTAAACTTAGGATTCCTACAGCTGTCTTTCAGATAAGAATGAGAAAGAGGATAGAGTGACCAGGATGAAAGAAAAGGAAATAAAAATAACCAGAGGCCCAAAGAATAGGGTCTGGAAACAGCGATGTGTGCTTGTCTGATAATTAACAATTTTCATTTTTAAAAAATATATTATGTATCCAACTATTTTAAAATAGCTTTTATATTAAATTTGTCTCATCTTTTCAATAATATACTAAGTGTACGGTAATACTTAACAATAATTGGAATAGCAAGCAACGTATTTTTTACAGCACATTGTATTAGACAACATATCACACAAATCTAAAAGCTTTTTTAAAAGAACTGCTATACTGTATGTAATTGACGCTACTGCTAAGAAAGACATTAAGATTTCTTCTCTTCATTAGGATGGGAACACAGAACCTCCGGGAATACAATAATAGTTTCTTTGCCAGTGAAAAACAATCATCTTAGGAGTTGTTTTTGTCTTGCAGGCTTTAGGTATACTCTGGGCTTTTCCATTCCAGTAAGTGAACATCCAGCAATCTGAATTCATGATTCAAAACACACTGACCTTCAACCAATCAGCCATAACAATAACAGAAGGATCTGTGATTGTACTGAGCAGCTCCTTTGTGGCTCTTTTCTTTTCTTCTCGGTAATTTTTCTTTTGTACCTATTTTATAGAAATAACAGAAAAGCTAAAAACTCAACAGAAATGAGCAATTTATTTTAAGTTCAGGGGTACAAATGCAGGTTGGTTATATAGGTAAACCTGTGTCATGGGGGTTTGTTGTACATATTTTATCACTCAGGTATTAAGCCTAGTACCCATTACTTACTTTTCCTGATCCTCTCCTTCCTCCCACCCTCACCCTCTGAAAGGCTCCAGTGTGGGCTGTTTCCCTCTGTGTGTCCATGTGTTCTCATGATTTTGTTTCCACTTCTAAGTCAGAACATGCAGTATTGGTTTTTCTGTTTCTGAATTAGTTTGCTAAGGATAATGCCCTCCAGCTCCATCCATGTCTCTGTAAAAGACATGATCTCATTCTTTATTATGGCTACATAATATTCCACGGTGTACCACATTTTCTTTATCCAGTCTCTCATTGATGGGCATTTAGGATGATTCTATGTCTTTGCTATTGTGAATAGTGCTGCAATGAATATACACATGCATGTGTCTTTATAATAGAACGATTACATTCCTTTGGGTATATACCCAGTAATGGGATTGCTAGGTCGCATAGTTCTGTCTTTAGGTCTTTGTGGAATCACCACACTGTCTTTTATCCTAATAGTCTAGTATTCTAAAGAGGTTTAGAATTTCATACTACAATGGTGATAGTATAAAATTCTAAACCGCTTTAGAATTCCAGAATCTGACAATAAAAATACTATAGTTTTTTTTTTTTTTCTTAGCAGGAGTTAGTCTTAGACAACCAAGGTTAGAATCTAGTCTTTCTGATCACTAGCGCAGTTCTACATATCTTTTAAATAATTTTACTTCTTTTTTTTTTTTTTTTTTTGAGACAGTCTCACTCTGTAACCCAGGCTAGGGTGCAGTGGCGGAATCTCAGCTCACTGAACCTCCATCTCCTGGGTTAAGGCAATTCTTGTGCCTCAGCCTCCCAAGCAGCTGGGATTATAGGCATATGCCACCATGCCCGGCTAAGTTTTGTATTTTTTGTAGAGATGGGGTTTCACCATGTTGGCCAGAATAGTCTTGAACTCCTGGCCTCAAGTGATCCGCCCACCTCTCAAAGTGCTGGGATTACAGGCGTGAGCCACCACACCTGGCCAATTTTACCTCTTTTTAATTACACAATGCATTAACACAATCTCACAATAAAAATTTCAAACATAAAGCTAGAAGCCATTTTTATTATACCCCATCCTATTCCAATCCTCTAAATTGATGACTGTTAATCTTCTGGAAGACACTGTCTTTTCAGACCTTTTCTAAGTAACAACCTATAAAACATTTACATTTTGTGTTTAGCATGCAAAAAGTTTCCCCAGTAAACATTTTTTGAAGAGTATTCACGTCTGTATCATTCTCATTCTTTTAAGTGTTACATAGGATTCCTACTGCAAATTAAAATAATAAGAGCTCTAACACTGAGGGCATTCTGTGAACCAGCCACAGTTCTAAGCACTTTACTTGTATTGTCATTACCTCATTTAACCCTCACAACAACCTTGTGAAGTAGAAGTATTATCCTTGTTTTATAGATAAGAAAACTGAGGCAGAGAGAGTAACCTGCTCAGAATCACACATTTAGTAAATTATAGAGTCAGCATTCAAACAGAGGCAGACTAGCTCCCAAAGCTATTCTTTTAACCACTGGCCTATAGTGCTTCTAAAATATTTATTAATATATTCTCTTACTGATAGAAACCTTCTCTGTTACCAATTTTTTCAGATAACAAAGAATGCCACAACTGTTTGCAATTGAAGTTTTGTTCTCTTTCCCAATACTAATATGTAAGTTATACATAATTAAGAAACCATAACTATAAAATTAGTTTATCCAAAATATCAAAGTTTCACCTTCATAAGTAAGTTAATTCTAATCATTTGGGGAATCAGCAGTGGACTAATGAGGTCTTATTGTTGCTTTGTTGTTATAATTTGGATAGCGGAAGAGTGATGATAACGTATTAGTGACTACATTTTTAAAAACTAACAAAATTTTACACCAGAAAAGTTGCATTTAATGATAAACAGACTAGACATAATACAATTTTAATAATTCTATACCCTCAAAACTTTAGATTTTGGTCTTTATTAATCTATCTGATTTAATATGGGATGCAAATACAAACATATATAGGACTAGGCATGGAACACAAATGGTAAAATAGACTAGGCAGGAACCAGAGCCAGTTGGAAAGCAAGTGTTTCTTAAGCTCCAGATTCTATGGCCACTCAGGAAGGTAAGCCCAATGCTACATATTTCTCAGAGAAATTGGATAGCTGAATTTTTAATTAACTGTTGGGTCAAAATTTTAAAACATTATGCAGGTCAAGTTCAGGCCATGACCCAGGAGTTAGTAATCTCTAATTTCAATGGGTGCCAGAGTTCCCATCAGGAGTTCGACAACACAGGGATGATATACCTAGTTCGGATACATCTGTGTAGAGATATCAAGTCCTCGGCCTCTGCAGCTGCCATTTGAGGCCCGAAGCAGTCTGCTCTGGGACACTCATCAATCAGCCTTATCAGTTGATCACAGTGTACCATACAAATATTAACATTTTCTATGTGTGCCTGCCTGTCTGTACCACTGGATGTTTTTTCTTTCTTTAGGAACACACATATATATTTATCTTATTAGCCTACTTCCAAACACACATGCAAAGCACAATGTAAATTACCTTTCAGAAATAACTGGAAACTAACCTTAAGAGATTCTTTTTTTGTGAGTTTGCTTGAAGTTGAACTGTCCTTCTCTGAGCCATTATAAAGTTTAGATTCAGACTGAAATCATACAGAAACAGAAGAGAAATAATTAAATCCTTCAGATTTTCTACACATAGCATAAAAATTAATGTTAAAACTATGTGACATCTTTCTCATTTATTGCTATGATTTAAGCAAATGTCAATTTTCAAATAGCATTTTTCCCCATATAGTATGTCTTTAAAAATGAATCCATGTTAAATCCATAAATATAAAAAAGTTAAAACTAATCAGTATACAAACCTACAGTGTGAAGTTAAGTAAGATCATTTGTAGATTTTACATTTTTTTTTTTAAGAGTATTTCTAAGAACATATATAATTATTTATACCTAGGACAAAAGTAGCCAAAGTAATGTTATCTTTTAACAGTTGAAATATTCTTAAAAAAAAAAAAAAGACACAAATTCTAACAAGCTGATGCACATATTGCCCTGCTTCTACTCCTCCTTCAATAGGAAGAAATACAAACACTTCTAGAAACCAGTATTAAGTCACTCTATCTAATCTGTACAGTGTGTAAACACCAATATTTCTAGGATCTACTACTTTCTACCTATCAAGTGAGTGGGATTTCCTCACTAAATTATTCATGTCTTAAATTTCTTTCCAGACTTTCAGTTTATACTTCACATTTTTATTTAATCCTCACAAGAATCTTGAAAAATAGGCACAACAGATTGTTTTATCTCCATTTTACAAATCATGAAAGGGAGGCTCAGGAAGGTTGATTTTCCAAACTAACAATCACTAACACTGCAGAGATCAGAACCCAGGTTTCCTAATGCAATGCTTGTTTAAAGAGACCACATAGGTTCACCAGAGTAGAAAAGCACAAAACTTAAAAGCTCTATTTGTTTTGGAAAAACAAAATTAAACATACTCCTTCAACATCCAGAAGTTTTATTTTTAACTATTGTTAGACATAGCAGAAGGCACTTAAAGTTCTTAGCAGTACTCCTAAGTAGTGCCAAGAAAGTATGCAGAACCTGATCCAAATGGTGGCTTTCAAATGTTGAGCAGCCAGATGTGCATAATATTACTAAATATCATCAAGGATACACACCTTTGTATACAATTCCCTCAATTTTTAGATTAATACGAACAGATAACACATTTATTTGTCAACGATACACAGTGTGTATCACCCAAAGAAAAGAAAGAACTCAGTAAATATCTAATGAATTAATAAAATGAAAATAAAATAGGTACTTGCAGCTCATTTCTCTCATCTCTCCTAAAAACACTTCTGCTACTTGGTATGAAATAAGGGCTATTAAGGTGATGGTATTAACTGGCTGAACCAGAAGGGAAATGCAAACAATTTTCAATGTAGAAATCAACCTAGTTAAACTTTTGGGAAAGTTACTCCTTTAAGAACTGGAGTTGAAACATCACATTAATTACTCCAATGATGATGGTATATATTGTGATATCAAAAACAATTTCATAACATTCCTCAAGCCAAACAGGTTTCTGTCTTCTCCTTGGCCCTGGGAACACAAAATGGCATGGCTATTGTCAGAGGAATATGATGGCTTAAAATTATTAGGAGATTCTACTTCCCACAACTTAATAGGATAACGTTTACAGTAGTGTACTTTTTAAAAACTATTAAACAAAAAATGTTAATAGTATTACCTTAAAAGTTAATGAATATTCATGGTTGTTTACTATTTACCAAGTACAGTTAACTCTTGAACAACACAGTTTGAACTGCGTAGGTCCACTTATAGGTAGATTTTTTTTCTACAAAAGTTACACTGAGTGTACCTGCCTTTCTCGCTTCCCCTACCAACTCCTCCACCTCTTCTGCCTCTGCCACCTGAAACAGCAAGACTAACTCTTTCTCTTCCTCCTTAGCCTACTTAATGTGAAGATAACAAAGACAGACCTTTCTGATGATCCACTTCCACTTAATAAATAGTAAATACATTTTCTCTTCCTTATGATTGTTTTAAATAACATATTCTTTCCTCTAGCTTACTTTATTGTAAGAATACAGTATACAATACATATACAAAATAAGTGTTAATTGACTATGTTATCAGTAAGGCTTCTGGTCAACAGTACACAATTACAGTAGTTAAGTTTTTAGGGAGTCAAAAGTTACATGCAGATTTTTATATGCACAGGGGAGTGGAGGGTCAGTGCCCCTAACCTCCATGTTGTTCAAGGATCAACTGTATATGTTAAACATTTACATACTCAAAGCAGACTTAGGAGATAGTAGTTGTATCCCTCTTTTACTAATGAAGACACTAAAACTAACAGATTACATATCTTTCCAAAGTTGCAAAGCTACAAAGTGGATGAGCTGGGATTTGTACCCTCATCTAATTCCTAGCTTCATGTTCTTACTTATCTCACTATATTAATTTCTCATCTTTTAAAACTGTTCATATGGTATCTTAAAGTTAAGATCTATCTTTACGAACAAGAAGAAATCTGTGGCCGGGCGTGGTGACTCATGCTGGCAATCTCCGCACTTTGGGAGGCTAAGGCGGGAGGATTGCTTGAGCCCAGGAGTTCAAGACCAGCCTGGGCAACATGGTGAGACACCGTCTCTATGAAAAACACAAAAATTAGCTAGGCATAGTGGCATGTCCCTGTAGTCCCAGGTATTTGGGAGGTTGAGGCAGGAGAATCACCCGAGCCTAGGAGTTTCAGGCTGCAGTGAGCAGTGACTGCACCACTACACTCCAGTCTGGATGATAAAGTGAGACCTTGTCTTAAAAAAAATCAAATTTGCTTCCCTAACAATTAAGCTCTAGCTTGGTTATTCCTAAAAGATTACTGTACATAGGGACCAGCAGGCCAGAAGGGTGTCACATGAGCGTGGTAAACCGACCTCAAGGAATCTTTAACTCACATACCTCAAGGAATCTCTGACATAACGTGCAGTCTAGTTCTGAAATACAAAAAGGAATGACCACGTTCTAGTCTTTTCTACATTACTACCTCAGTTTTTTAAATCAAAACACCTTTCAAATGCCAAAAATGTAAATGATTTTTTTGTTGGGGACATTTTACTAAACTAAGTTTCCCTTCCTTCATAAACTTTATTGACCACTCTCTTAAGGATGACCATCAAGATAGGCAAGTTTAATGTATATTACTGCTTGCCTCTTTGTTAAATGGCATTAGAATGCTTAGCATGTTATATTTTTTATTTCTTTCCTTCTCTTTTTCTTCTCTCTTTTCCCCTTTAACTGCTTCCCCTTATAGGCTCTGTGACTTTGAGAAGTTAATTTCATCTGTCAGTCTTAGTTTCTTCATCTGTAAAATGAAGATACTACTACTAATTTATAGGGTTGCTTTGAGGGTTAAATGATACTTAAAGTGTTTAACTTAGTACTTGGTAATATATTGTTTCAGGTTTATGTCTATATCTCAGATTGCAAGTGCTATCAAAAATCTGACCTTTAGAGATTTAAATAATGGGACATTTATTTATGAAAATACTTTGCAATTTGCTTTGAAAATTATATAATGCTACAGATATAAGGAACAACAAGGATAATGATAAGTTACTGTGATCACATCAGACATTTTGGTTTAGAAACGTTTGTTAACCGTCCAGGTAAATGTATATTTTAAAGCAAGTAACAGATTCAGCAAACCTACAAGGCAAGTAGTTAAATGGTTGAAGAATCAAGAGATGTGAGCTCAAAAACCCCTTATCCTTTTAACAGAATTCCTTTTATCCCACTAGACACATTAGTTATGTTGTAATTCCTTTTGTTGAGATGGATAATTAAAAATTCATTTTAAAATGCTACTTTGTTTGGGATAATCTGATTAACCAACTTTTCCAATTCACTTATTCATACAATGAAAAAGCCTAGGAAAAGGTGCATGAGAAAGAGGAACTGCCTTATTTTATTTCTTGAGACAGGTCTCACTCTGTCACTCAGCCTGGAGGGCAGTGGTACGATCACAGCTCACTGAAGCCTCCAACTCCTGGGCTCAAGTGATCCTCCCACCTTAGTTTCCCGGGTAGCGAGTCAAGGTCTCGCTAGGTTGCCCAGGCTGGTCTCAAACTCCTGGGCTCACGCAATCCTCCCACCTCAGCCTCCCAAAGTGCTGGGATTACAGGCAAAAGCCACTGTGCCCAGCTCCTTTATTTTTAAATAATGTCTGGGGATGAGGCAGGTGTATTTCATTGTGTTAATCAGGCTCAATTAAGAATTTTTAGAAATGACATTTAACCTAAAATCCTGCGACCAAAATGAGAGTATTCATATTTTTTGCATCAAGTTGGGAAAAGTTAAAATTGTTTGATGTTCTCAGTTACACAACTCAATCATGAAAGGAATAACAAATCTTGTTTTCCAAAATTACTCAGATAAGAATAAAAATCTTCAGAATTCCACAAGTATGAGGTTTAATGATAAATGTAAAATTTTACACTGTTCTGAAAAACAAGAGAGTTGGTTGCATGCTCATACATATATACAAATTTATATATTTGAGATAAGGTCTCACTTCGTCTCTCAGGCCAGAGTGCAATGGCGCAAACACAGCTCACTTGCAGCGTCAACCTCCTGGGCTCAAGCATCTCCTGCCTTAGCCCCCCAGGTAGCTGGGACAACAGCCATGTGGCATGTGTCACTACACCTGGCTAATTTTTGTATTTTTTGTAGAGATAGGGTTTTATCATGTCCAGGCTGTTCTTAAACTCCTGAGCTCAAGCAATCTTCCCATCTCAGCCTCCCTAAGTGCTCAGATTACAGGCATGAAACACTGTGCCCAGCCGCATGTTAAAATATTTGAAGACAAAGGAGCAACTACAGACATCTTAAGCTAACAGAATAAACTAAGATTAAATCTAAACTACGAGAAAATCAGTAAGTTAGAGCTCTTGGAAAATAATATGACGAGTATAATTTTACTTATATACCAAATAGTTATGTTAAGAATCCCATTCATTCACTCTAATGCTTTATTCATAAGAAAATATCTTCTTAACTATCTACTGTTAACCAGCTACTTTGTCAGGTACTTTCTGCTACCACA